CTCTGCCCCCCCCCACACCCCTAGATTAGCGAGCACAGTGGGTGGCTTGTCCCATGGGGTCACTGTCCCCCCCTCTCCCCCTCCCCTAAACGGGGGTTTTGTACCCGCACGGGGTCTGGCAGTGTCTCCCCCCCCAGCTTAACCCCGGCTCTCACCCCCCACCCCTGATTTTTCCCCTTCAGCCCCTCTTCTGCCGCTAGCTACAGTAGCTTGAACCCCCCAGGCCAGTAAAATTCTGCCCCCTGCTCAGACCCTGACAGCCCCCCCGCTGCGATTTGCCCCCCTTAATCCTTTTAACCCCCCCAAAGAGGAGGCAGCAAAACGTAAGTAGAAGTAAGGGCAGAGAGAGGGCAGTGGCTACAAGGAAGGTTACTGGGCATGCTCAGTTCGAGTGAGCATGCTCAGTACACCCAAGGTAGCAAAAGGGGAGGGAGAGCAGTTGACCCCCCGTGCTCCGCGCACGCGCACAGGCCTGGCGCGAGGCCGTGTTGACGCAGAGACCGGCTCTCCTGCTGATTGGGTCGGGGCTGGGGGCTCGAAGCTACTCGAGAGTCGGGGGGGGCGGGGCCAGGCCACATTCCCTGGTCACGTGTCGCGTTTCTGCCGAGCCGCCGCCCGGGGAGGGGGAGGGGCCCCGGTGTCCAGGTCACGTGCCGCTACTGGTCGGCACACGCGCACGCGCAGAGTGGGGGATGTCGGGCTGGGCCGGCGATGGCCGAGGAGGAGGGTGCCGGGCCCGGCTCCTGTCAGCGGGCGCGAGCGGCCATGGAGCCGGCGCGGGTGAGTCGCCGCCCCTCCCCCCCGCGGGGCCGGGCCGCGCCGGGCCTGCGCTGGGGGGCAGGTTAACGCCTGTGGGTGCTGGGTGAGCCCCGCCCCCCCTTGCCGCGGCCGCCGTTCCTGGCCCCGCGCCCAGCCCCTGCCTTGGCACGCGGGGAGCGTTGGCGGCGCGCGCTGGGGCTCGAACGGCGAGCCGCGCGGGACCCGCCCTCCCGCTGGAGGGAGCCGCTGCTCCGGCGCGCGAGTCTCCGGGCAGGGTCAGGCGCCGGGCCTGGCCTCGGGATCCAGGCGGGAGCAGCCTGGGACCAGAGACCTGTCGTAATGTCCGTGATTTCAGCCGCGGCCGGTGCTTCGGGCTGGGTCTGCCGCGCGCGCTCGCCTGCGCCCCATGGCCATGGGGGGGGGGCAGGAAGGACTCTTCTCCCAGGTGGCCTTGTTGGGGGGGGGGTTCACCTTCGCCCCCAGCTAGGGGGACCAGATGTCCCGATTTTATAGGGACAGTCCTGATTTGGGCGGGGGGCTTTTTCTTATATAGGTTCCTATTACCCCCCCACCCCGTCCCGATTTTTCACACTTGCTGTCTGGTCACCCTATCCCGAGCGAGTGGGTGCGGGCCACTTGCCAGGACGGTGTGGCTAGATCAGGGGTAGGCAACCTATGGCACGCGTGCCGAAGGCGGCACGCAAGCTGATTTTCAGTGGCACTCACACTGTCCGGGTCCTGGCCACCCGTCCAGGGGGCTCTGCATTTTAATTTTAAATGAAGCTACTTAAACATTTTAAAAACCTTATTTACTTTACATACAACAATAGTGTTGTTATATATTATAGACTTATAGAAACAGACCTTCTAAAAACGTTAAACTGTATTACTGGCACGCGAAACCGTAAATTAGAGTGAATAAATGAAGACTGGGCACACCACTTCTAAAAGGTTGCCGACCCCTGGGCTAGATCTCAGTCCGGGGCAGTGGCGCACCTCCGTCCCTCCTGTTCTCTGTGTTGGCGTGTAATTGGCTGTATGACTTTGATTTGGGGGGCATTGATCAAGTGGAAAGCCTCCATTTAAATCATTATTTTTTTGAATAACTGAAGTACAAATGGAAAAGTTTATTTTCGAAAGAAAGGCATGTTCTCATTGGTTGATAACATGCTTTAATGGTCTTCACTTTCAGCTAAGTTACACTAGATTTGTTACATCTTTTTGCACCTAGGAGGGCACACTATCATTGTACACTTATTTAAGCTATTATATAGCTTAGTATTTCCAGAGCCTTATTTGTTGTACATTTTTAGTATATTAGAAAATGGTGAATGATATATTGCTTATTTACCAGACAATTAACTTTTCCCCCATGGTTTGTGTCAAGCTGAAGTAGAAGGGTAACTGGAATTTAAATACACAAAAAGCATATAAAATTTATTTTTTATTTAAAAAAAACAACAACCTTAAATGTTTGGATACATAAATTTCTCATCAAAACATGTTTCACATTTACAACTAAATGATTTATTAAACAGAGGGATTAACTGTAGTCAGTGAACTAAACTGATTATTTCAGGCCAGCCTGCAAAAACTTTCAAATATGCTTAAGTGAAAGTGACTGGAGTTTAAGTTCCTTCTTGCCTAAGGCTATGGGAGAGTGTCTCCTGCCAACATAGCGCCGCCCACAGTGGTGTTTCTGTCATTGTAACATTTGTCGGTCCGAGGGGGGAGTTTTTCACACCCCTGAGCAACGTAAATTTTACTGACCAAAGGTTTTTTTCCTCAAAAAGCATTTTATCAATAAAATCCGATTTAAATTAAAAAAATCCGATTTTTTTTTTAATCATTGATTTTTATCCACCCTGACTCTGAAAAGCGGAAGTTGGGCTTGTCTACACAATGCAGCTTTTAGCAACAAGGCTGTATTGACACAGCCTTGTCGCTAAAAGTCAGCATGTGTAAATGCTCTTTTTCAGTACTTTGTCAGCACTTTTGCTGACAAAATACCTCCAGCCCCGCAAGCGGCGTTAGCTTTGTTGGCAGGAGAGCACTCCTGCCAACAAAATCACGTTCACGCTGCCACTTGCGTAGGCAAAACTTTTGTCTTTCGCGGGGGGGGGGCTTTTTAAAATTACCTTTGAAAGACAAAAATTTTGTCGAGGACTTCAGTGTGGACAAGCCCATATAGACAGCCCTTTATCACCAGGAGCCCGCTCCCGCGATAAAGCTACCACTGCTCGTTCGGGGTGTTGTTGTTTTTTATCTTTTTATCGCCGGGAGAACTCTCCCCTGGTGCTAAAGTGTGTCTACACTGCCCACATCACAGCATGGCTGTGCTGTAACGTGGGCAGTGTAGACATACCCATAGAAAGTAAAAATGCCTTGGGAACAAAGCTGAATCTGAATGAGTCTCTTTTTATTCTAGCTGATTGAATTGTAACAAAGCAAACAGCATACCAGGAGAAAAGTAAATTAGACTTTTATAGTTCTTTGATGACTTAATCTGCAATGTTAACACAGACTTTTAAAATGAGTTTTATGTTGATTGTGCCCCTTTAAAGAATGAACATAAAGAAAACAAGGTAATTAAAAGAAAACATCCTTTGCTTGGTGAAAGTAGAGAACTTTAAAAAGCTCTCAACTGGGAGTGAATGCAAAGGAAAATTACAAGCACAAGAAAAACCTGCTTAGGAGTTGGCTCAACCTTTTTTTCCCTGGGAGGTACTACCGGTACTGTTCTAAATTTAGATCCTATTCTAAGCTGCTTCTGTGCTTCAGACCAGTGATCCTCGAACTTTTTTTTTTTTTTTTTCATGGGGTCCCTAAAACCATCTGTTTCTTGTGACAACCCACCAAAAGGCTCTAAAGGATTATAGTAACTGCAAGAAATTGCACTGGGGTGTGGTGTGGTTGGACATCTCCTTTCTGTGTTCCACCTTCTACCAGCACTTAGGAGTACAGTACAGGCATCATCACTTCAAGGGATTGTGTGAGCAGCTGTGCATCCTCTTAAAAGTGCTCCTTCTCTAGCTGAGGGCTGGTAGGTGGTGAAGACTGAGGAGCCCCATTGCATGGGTTGGAGTGGTAGGGAAGTAGGCAGCATATAGGAGCAAACTCTGGATCCTACCTATGCCTGGGGGAATTCTGCACCAAAAAATTAAATATTCTGCACATAATATTTTAAAATAATAACACAATATAATCACACCAGTTTCAATTATTTTGGTAATTTATTTCAAAATACCTATCAGCAAGTACATCTGTAACAATACAGACAATGAAAAAGATTCAGGAAATGTTTTTTGTCAAATAGATTCCTTATTAGGCATATAAATACAGAACTTTGAGTAATTCATTTAAACTGCAATACATAACCGTATTTGCTGCCCCTCAGAAGCAATGCAAAGGCTTGGGGGAGCCAGGGGTAACGGAGGAGCTGAGGGAGAGGGAAGGAGCCTGGGAGTGAGCCTGGATGGTTGTTGGGTGTGGGTGGGAGAAGTATGGAACAGGTTATTTTGGGGGGCAGGGAGGGATTGTTAGGGAGCCTCCCCCATGCAGACCCTGGCTGACCCATAGCCTCTCCCATTCAGTCAGGCATATCTGTCCCTGTACCCCCTTGTGTCCTTGCACTCCCTCCTATCTGTCCCCATGTGTCCCTGTGCTTCCTCCCCATCCCCATGTGTCCCTGCACCCCATGTGTGTCTGTGCCCCCACTCAGCCCCTCCTTCCCCCATGTGTCCCTTCACCCCTACCCCATGTCTCTGTGCCCTCACTCAACCACCCCCCTGTCCCCATGTGGCCCAGCGCTTCCACTCTCATTCAGCCCCTGCCCCAGTCTCCCCACCCAGCCCCACACTGTCTCCTCCCGTCCATATCCCCTATCTCCTGACCTGGCCCCACAGGCATGATGCTGCCAGGCAGGCAACCTCTTCTCTTCCCTATTGGCAGTTCTAGTGCCACAGCAGCCCCTGTTGGGCAAAAGGTGTAACTGCAGCAACTTTCCCGCAGAAGTTACTTTCTGCGGAGGAAAAAAAATTACACCTGGCACATTAATTATGTGTGCATGCAGTGATGCAGAATTTCCCCAGGAGTAATCTTACCCTGAGAGATTGTATAGCTTTAACAATTTCTTTAGGTTTCTCAATCACTGTTGTGTGACCCAGCTGGTATTCCCTCCCAACTCACTTTGGGTCATACTTCATGGAGTGAGAATTCCTGCTTTAGACTGTCAATAAATATGTTCTTTGTCAACACAAAAAGTATTTTTCATCCTGAGCAGGCTTATTTTAATAAACCTGTATGGCTGAGAAAGGTAGCTGTAAAGTATGACTTTACCAGTTTTTTCATAGTTACTTTTCAGAGCAATGTCTTAATTAATGGACCTGCTCTCTGTGTGTATTCATTGTTGTTTCTGCTTAATTGTCTATCGTATTTACTACTTTTTACTTCTATTAGCCCTGCAGAGCCAATAGAGCTCTGAAAGAGTTATCTCTGGATTCTGTTGCAGTTTTCACATCAACAAAATTAATTGAGTTCAAACTGCAGAATCTTTATTGAGGAGTGTGCTAGGGAGAGCTGAGTTTGACTTTCAGACTAAGTTTGCAGATCTAGCTATTGGTGTTGAATTGGGATTTCTTGTAGTGGCTTGGTTAGCCAATGATTTCTTTGGTGACTACATCTCTTGCTCCAGAATCTAACACTTATTTTAAAAAATAAAATATTTAGCCTTTAGTAGCTGTGAAAGTAATCTTCAAATGTAAACCAGTGTATAGTTAAGTCTGCCTGATCAGAAACAGTTATAAGGGAAGTCTGAATTGTCCCTATTCATTTAAAGGGAGATTTAACTCTGAAGCCTAAAAACTTAAATGTCATCATAGTTAACTATTTCACTTTGATCAAAGCATGTAATAAGTAAAGGGACATTCTTATGAGGCTCTAGCCAATCTGAGTGGCATTCCACTTTAGCATCTTTAGTGGGTGGAATTTTGGTTATGAGAAGATTTTCAGAAAGTGTCACCATTTATTTCTCTCTTCTCTCCCCCACCCCACCATTCAACATCCAGTTGGCATTTAGAAAACAATTCTGTTGTTTGCAAATTTAGGCAATTTGATACAAAAATCAGTGAGACAATGCCATTTTTAGAGTCAGTTTTTGGAGTAGAACCAGGCTTTAACATTCATGTAAGTTCTGCCATGTACTAGTTGAGATTGTCTTGTCAGCAGTTTGCAGCAGTGTCCTCCCTGTATGATTGCTTGTTTACATTTACACATTTTTATCTTCTGATATGGCTTTGAACTAACAAATCCTAGTGTTGCCCACCTCTGCCTTTCCTGCCTTTACATGGCTTTCCTCATTGCACCAAAATAATAAATGTAATAGACTGTATATTTTCTCACAAGGGTCTCGACTACTCGGGTAAAAAAAGCTACAACATGACCAGCTAACACAAATTCAGAGGTCTTAGTCTGCATCTACATGTGTGTTACTAGGGCTTTTCAGTCATGTTAAACTAAAATGATTGAAAGAGGTACCCTTTTTGCTTTTATGGACAAGTCCCTAAAGACCTCAGACCTGGAGAAGTGGATAATGCAGGGAATTAGGGAGCAAGTTACTTGTAGACCAACTAGTTCAGATCAGTCCCAAACGGGTATTAGCCGAAAGTTACCAAAGGTGGCTCCTGAGTGACCTATATGGAATGATTTGGTTGTCTCAGTCAAATTCCTAATGAACATGTGGCCAAATTTAAACAAAAATTAAAAAGCCCTTGCCATTATAAGTGGAACTCTTGTCGCCACCAGTGCTCCAGACAGCGCGGTAAGGGGGCACGGAGCACGGGGGGTTGGATAGAGGGCAGGGGAGTTCGGGGTGGTGGTCAGGGGGCGGGGGTGTGGATAGTGGTTGGGGGGAAATGGGGTGAATGGGGGCAGGGGTCCCCGGGGGCAGTCGGGGGACAGGGAGAAGGGGTGGTTGGATGGGGCAGGGGTCCCGGAGGGGCCATCAGGAATGAGAGGAGGGGTTGGATGGGGCGTCGGGGGTCCGGGGGCAGTCAGGGGACAGGGAGCGGGGGGGTGTGGATGGGGTAGGGGTCCCAGAGGGGCCATCAGGGAACAGGGGGGGTTGGATGGGGCAGGAGTCCCCGGGGAGGGGGGGCAGATGGGAGGTGGGGGCTGGGCCACGACCCCCTCCCCTAATGGGCCCTCCATACAATTTACGAAACCTGATGCGGCCCTCAGGCCAAAAAATTTGCCCGCCCCTGGTTTAACTGAAAAGTAGCCTAGGTACTTCTGAGCACTATTGGAGGAAGTGGCAGGTTACTTATAAAGTACTGCTGCAGGCAGATATTTATCATAAAGACTTCAAAGGAAACTCTCCTCTTCCCATGAGGCCCGGCTTTGGTAATAACAAGTGCTTGAGAGACAGCTGGCATGCTTTTTGGTTAAACTTAACAAGGGTGAGGTGGATAAAGTATAGTTCCACACTGCTCCTTACCTCATGAATTCAGCTGCTTTGCAGGCAGCAATTTGTGGCCTATATAAATTTGGCTCTTTGTTTACATTTTTTTCAATAGAAAATGAGGATTGAAATGACTGGACCACAGACTGCTACTGATGGTGCATTTGGTGTTAAGCTGCCTAAGGCCTTGTCTACACACAGTTTTATTCCAGTTTAATTATTTCAGGAAGGGGTATAATTTTTCTACTAAAATAGTTAAATTGGTATAACCCTAGTTATGTATACAGTTGTATCTGTTATAGCTTATTCCCCTTCTTTATAGGAATAGCTACATTGGTATAAGGCACCTTTATGCAGATTTAACTAAATTGACCTACTGACACTATACCAGGATAGTTAAAGCCGTTCAGCCCCCTGGTATAGATGTAGTTATACTGGTATTAAAGTGTTTACATAGTAGTATGATACTTACCTCCTTTGTAAAGTGCTTTGAGATTTACTGATGCAAAGTGCTTATGTAAGAGCTAGATATTAGTAGGCTCTCCGAGTTCTGGTCAAGTGTAGGTAGTCTCTTGGTCTATCCAAGGCCGTGATCAAGTGTCTTGATGTTTTTGGTCTTTTGGCCTCGAGATGAAAACCTTGTCTTTGTTTCTGGGACCTTGAAGTGAAAAAATTCTCTAAGTTATTTCTGTACAGGAAGGGGAGTAAACTATACTGTATAACTGCATCCACAGTAGGGCTTTTACTGGTATAACTACTGTAAAAAATCACACCCCTAACCAAAAATAATTACACTGGTGAAACTTTTAAATGTAAATCAGGTTCAGATCAGTTGTTGGCTGTGGTTATTTAGGGTTTCCCATGCATCCTACCTACCACACACAAGCTGGCAGTGACTGCACTTATGGAAATGACCCCATATGCTCGTGCCTTCTGATGGAGAATGCAAAGCAGAGTAGGCTTTAGAGTTTAGACACCTTTAAATATCTCCTTTTAGAAGTCTGAGCTATATTTAACTATTCTGGAACTGAATGAAATTCCCAAACAATATAGCCTAAGATCAGATGTTAAAGAAAGGAAAACAATTATATTAAAACCAAACGCAAATAATATATTTGGGTCTAAGACTCCCTAGCTTTTCTCAGGTAGGTCACAAAACTTTGAAATTGCAGATATTTAGAACTCTCTGTAGATAATACTTATATTAAGAACTCACTTCTTGTCCCAGTTCTTCTCTGACCTTTAACAGGACAATATGTGCGCCTAGGATTGATTAATTGTAATTCTGGAGTCAGCTCTTTTATACTTACTTGGCTATGCTATAATACCGGGTATGCAGACAGTTACTTAAATTATCTTACCATTTTGACAAGCCACATTTGAATTATGGCTTGGTTAAGTGAGATAACTTCTCCCCTCCCATCCCCAAACCCATTGTATGTTCAGGTTGCATTCAGAATTTTATAGAATGCTGTTTCTCTGTGTAATCAGGTTGTGTGGGTTTTTATTTCCCATCCCTTAATGCATCTCACACTTACCAAAAAGATCTTTCAAAATTGTACACTCAGCATTGATTCAGATTCCTTCCCACCCATCCCACTATATGTTTGTGACGTTCTGCCTTTGGATAAAACCATGTAGGTTGCTAATTGACATCTGTCCAACTGCTTACTTTCCCTGAGTTAAGTTGTTATAATGTAGACAGTTATTTAGAGATTATGCCCATATTTTCTATAGTTTGTGATCTATAATTTCTACTCCATAGCAAATGTGTTCTTTACAGATAAGGTTTGGTCTGTTACAGGGTCATGTAAAATATGAGTCTGAATAGTCAAGATGACTTGTAATAGCAAGGTTAAAAAAACACAAACTTTCACTGATTTGTTTTGTATCAACAATTGTCAAAATTACTAATGTGGAGTGTAGGAACCTTAACTTCTGAATTTACTAACTTCCACTTACATTTTCAGCTTTCACATGGCACTAAATATGCTACTTTGTTTTAAAAGTGATTTCTGTGTATAACTTTTTGCATTTAATCAACAAAAAAGTTTCCTGCTTTTTTTACCCTTCCTTGTGTCAGTTAGCTGAACCATGTATAAATCTTTCAGTTCTTTGAGAGCTGTAATGCAGCCACTGAAACCACTTGTACATGTATGAGCTCTCAAATGTGGGATTTATCATTCTAGTCCACTGAATTTTTATGGAATTGCTTGAAGACCTTGTGCATGCAAAGGACTTATAAACATGAATTAAAAAAAAAGCGGGGTTCTGTGCAGCTTTGTTCATGTTCTCCTTTACCTTCTTGATGTAGGAGAGGACAACACTCGTATGAAGAAAGAAAGAGCAGTATGATGGATTCAGAAGATCTTGTCATAACAAGTTCAAAGCAAGATATTGCTCATCACATTGTAAAAGTTAGCTCAGGTAAACATTACTTTTGTGGATATTGTGCAGCCTTCACCAATATAGCAATCACCTTTCCCATCCAGAAGGTCCTCTTTCGACAACAACTGTATGGAGTGAGATTAAGGGAGGCAGTATATCAGTTACAAAAAGATGGAATCCGAAACCTGTACCGTGGACTCCTCCCTCCATTAATGCAGAAAACTACAACTCTTGCCCTGATGTTTGGCTTGTATGAGGATTTCTCCTCCCTGCTCCAGAGGCACACAAATGCACCTGAACTTGTGACTTGCAGTGTGGCAGCAGTGCTTGCAGGAACATCAGAAGCTCTTCTTACACCTTTTGAGCGGGTCCAGACTTTGCTTCAGGACTACAAACATCATGACAGATTTACAAACACTTACCAGGCTTTCAGGGTGCTAAAAGACTATGGAATTAAAGAATATTATCGGGGTTTGGTACCTATTCTGATCCGAAATGGACCGAGTAATGTACTCTTTTTTGGCCTACGAGGACCCATCAAGCAGTGTCTTCCCGAAGCAACTTCTTATAGTGCTCATTTGGTCAATGACTTTATCTGTGGAGGGCTGTTGGGTGCCATGTTGGGATTCTTGTTTTTCCCAATTAATGTTGTAAAAGCTCGCATGCAGTCTCAAATTGGTGGGGAATTTCAGTCTTTTCCAAAAGTTTTCATGAAGATTTGGCTGGAACGTGATAGAAAACTGACACACCTTTTCAGAGGAGCCCATCTGAATTACCATCGCTCTATTATATCCTGGGGCATAATCAATGCAACATATGAATTCTTGCTTAAGTTATTATGAAAAATGTTACCTTCTATGAAGTCTCTCTGCTCAGTTGGGTATTGGCACATTGAGGTCACTTATTTCCTAGGATCAAATTTGTCATAATCAGACCTGTTCATGAATAACACTGAAATTTGGAGAGTTTAATTGCAAAATGGTGGTTACATTTCAGTAGGGAGAGAAGTAATTTTTACCAGTGCCTGCTGAGTCTGAAAGTTAATTACACTCAATCTTATTAATTGTCTTCAGTCTTTATGGGGTGAAAGTTGGCATTGTGTTTAGATCTTAATTTAAGAACAATTGGTTTGTTCAAAAGTGTTCTCTTTAGTAAAGTATTTTGATGCTGGAAGGTGAATTCAGCCATACCTGAATAAACTAATTGAAACTATTTAAATGTTGGCTTTGGCCTAGAAACTTACTCCAGGTCACCCTCAACCTTTCTTAACACTCCTGGTGATCAAAACTATGCTTGATTGTGCACTTTGTGGAATATGAAAGTGAGGGAGGCTGACAAAAGCTCTTTAGTTTTCCTACTTGGTAAACTTGGGAGGTCTGATGTACCTGATGCAGTTGTTGTAAGAGTACTCTGAACTCCCATAATGTTTCAGGTTTCCCAGGTATCTTTACTGTTTGAAACCAGACTGCCAACTTTGAATGAGGATGGTGTTACTTCTCAACTAAGCCTACATGAATGGGTTTTGCTGGTCTCCTAATATGAATGCCATCTTGTCAAGCAACATAAGGTAGCTACTAAGGCTATGTCTACAATGCACTTTTTTAACCGGTTTTTACTGACAAAAAGCACTGGTGTGGATAGTGCTTTGTCGGCGGGAGACAAAGCTACTGCCCCTCGTTGGAGGTGGTTTTATTTTGCCAGCAGGAGAGCGGCTACCCCGGGGACCTTACAGCGGCACAGCTATGGTACTTTAAGGTACGCAGTGTAGACATAGCCTACATTTTCAACTTCAGCATAAGCTGATCCAGTGCAAAGTAGGGGTATGTGTACGTATGTGAAAAGGGAGTAGCAGGCAGTTGGGTTTGGGTGGGGGGGAATGAAACAAATTTTATCTAAAAAGCTTTAAAGTGTCCTTCATGTTACAATATCACCTATTTGTGAACGTGGAATATTTTATTTGGTCTTTCGTGCTGTTTAGTTTCTGTTGCAAACAGGCATGCCGCCAGAAAGAAGACGTGGTTTCTGCAACATTAACACATACAGAAGTAGTATGAAAACTGATGGGAGTCAAAGTACTTTGTAGACAGCTTTTGTTGTATTAAGGTAATTTATGTCCTTTTGCAACTATTTTTACTTGCTTCATGTGAGGTTGTAGCATAACTGATCACTTTAGTCAGTATTGTTAGCTGAAGCTTGCTCCACCCTTCCTTTTATGCCTTGTTCAGGGTATATCACTGTAGTGGAAAAGGCACTCCGATACTATGGCGAGGAGGACCATATAAGCGCTGGGCTTGGGGGTTTCTCTGTGATCATTTAATCATGTTGATAAACACTCTCATACAATATTACTTCTGTTTAATATTTACTTGGTATTCAGGTGGATGTGCTTTAAGGCCTTGGAGAAGAGACGAGAGGGCAGGAACACAAGTGTGATTACCAAACTAGTGGTCTTCATATAAAAAATGACTTTTGTATATTTTTATGCAAAAAGGATTCATAAAGTATTTTCATATTTTGCGGTGAACATGAAAGCTTTCAGAAATTGTTTTGGATGATTTTTTTCTTAATTTTAGAGTGAACATTACTTTTTTTATGTATCCTTAAATTTTCAAATGCTTATGGTTTTTACTTTTACTTCATTTCAGTTGTTCACTTGACATAACCCCCTAAATAATTACTCCCAAACAGTATGCCCTATTTCTTTATAATCTATAGCTCTATACTACTAAGCTTCACAGTCAAAGATGGCCAAACACAAATAAAGCACATTGATATTTTGAATGTTGTGATTATATGGATTTAAATATACTGTCTGTTGAATGTTTTACTGGTGGAATCTGATTTTACCAGTGTATTGTTTTTGTAACCTTTCCTTGATGGAATAAAACAAAAGTAAATCTGTTTCCCCAGCCTTAGTTTTTTGTAGCACATATTTTTTCCTAACAGTGTGTTACTGGCACTTGAAAAAAGAACATAAGTTGGAGCAAACAAAGCAAGTGTTGGCAATTATAGTTCAACAAAACAGAACGTTTATTGTGGCTTGGCCTCATGCTGGTTTGCTACTATACACTACTTCACAAGGGAAGAGCCTCTTCCAACTCCACTTTCAACTTTTAGGTCATGATGATCAGGAGTTTAGAGGACATCAGGCGTGGCTAAATGCCTCTTAACAGAATTATACAACTTGGTTATATTCTGTGTACAGGAGAGCTGTCAGTGAAGTTAATGGGAATGCAAAAGATGAGATATCTTGGGTTTAATAAAGATTTGATAGTATCTGAAATTATATTCCAATGACTTGATGAGGATTATAGGATGGACTGAAGTCTGTAGGCAAAACTTAATGATAAACAGTGTCTCAAATTGGGGACAGGTAGGTGGTGGTAGAATGCAACAAATTAGTATTTGTTGGTCCAGACTATTTTCATGAGTTGGAGGAACATGTACTGTGCAGTTTAGTAAACAGGGATGGGTACCAAGTATCAGTAAGATAGTGTTAAAATGGACAAAAAACTAATTGGATGTACGTGTGGGAGTGGTGGGAAAGAACTATTGAGTTCAGGGTGTGTGCAAACACAAGTATGGTCCCTGCTCCCAAGGAGTTCAGTCTAGTTACTACAGAGGCTAGATTGTGCTAGGAATAAGTGTTTGTGTCAAATGACCCCAAACAGAAGCCTGGATTAAGGTGCACTGATGGGAATGGGAGAAGAGAACCCTTCTTAGACTTTAAGCTGCATTTTCAGAGATGTGCCAAAGCAGGGAAGCCCAGACTCCTGTTAGGGTAGCTGGAATATTATTCGTGTCTGGGCTCAGTATCAAAATGAAGTAGGAAGATCAGTAAAAGCAAGAGTACCAAGCTATTGGTGTACTGACTCAGACATATCCTCCTATTACATGGGGTATTATAAAACATACTGATAGAGACAAATTGGCATTGTGGAAGACTGTTACAAAATCTCTCTGCTTAAGTTTTATTAAGCTAACGTTTAAATTATTACCCCCATCTTGGTAAACAACTTAAATGTTTGTACCTATTCTTGGTATTCATCTGAATAAATGTGGGCAGGTTTTTTTTGGTTGCCTTTCCTGGGATTACATGCATTTCATGGCAAGACTCAAATACATAATTTCCTAATTGCCAGCATTGTATATGTAGATTGACTCACCTGGTGCAAGAGATTGGTACACCAATCTAATAAAAGTGGAGATACAGTAATGTAGGTTGCTCTTTTGTACCAGATGCTACATCTGTGATCTCCAGCGCCTTCTCTAGACTTAACGGGCAAAGGCAAAAGCTGTGATAATAGCTTAGCAAATACTGACAGTGTGCAAAAAGGAGATTCAGAAAAATAAACAGTCAGTGACTGGTTCTTTTTCACCCCTCAAAAGGGATGTAATACTTAATTTATTTCATTAAGATTCTCAAGTTGAAGCAGTGGCTAGGACTGGAAGCAAATAGTGCAGTGAAGAGCTATGTCGTTCTGTTAGAAGTATGGAATAGAACTTAACATTTAGAAAAAATGCACCCTATCACCTTTCAAAAAATGCACTGAATTGCTTTATTAAATGTTTAATTTATTTTGCAAGCAAGAGAAACTGTTCACAAACAGTACAAGTTACTGAATAGGAGCAAGTACAGTATATTCAGAACAGCTCTGCTACTTGGTATGTATTGTATTAAAAGTCTACCCCCTCTATGAAACCTTGAGTATTTCAAAATATTCTACACACACAACTTACTCTTGTATTAAAAAAAGACTTTTACAGGTGGTTGGAGACCCTGTTGAATACCAACGTCATTGTAGCAGAGAATGCACCATTGCCTAAGAGCATGCTTCCCCCCCCCTTCCAGCAGAGCAATCAAGTTATAAGGGGGGGGAAAAGACAGGCATTTTTCTTTCTATCATGATCTTGGAAACTAGCATTTGTTTTTAGTTTCCATGTGGCAAATGTATTTGTTGCATTATGAAGAGCCTGAATTTCACAGAGCTCTGTTTAGCAGAGACTTCAGTTTTGCTTTGCAATACCTAAACTTCTTTCTGTACTGGCATTATTTGTGGCATCCTTAAGGAACAAGGTTTGCACTCCTCCTATAAATACAATATTGTAGGATCAATGAAAAAATGTTAGTTTTCACTAGTACATTTTCCCTGTAAACAGTTAGAATCTTGTCTAGGAGATTTCAGATTAACAAAGCAAGCCAAGTTTTGGGCTTTAATTCTTTAGTGTATTTCTAGATATATTTTGCTTTTCCCCTTTCTCCCCACCCCCAAAATAGAGACAGGCCACCTAGATCTTTTCACTGAGCTACAAACTTTTTTTAAAGTAAATTTCATTTTTACTCAGTTACCTCTTCCCTTACCCAATTCCTCTTCCCTTGCCAAAAATGTTGACAGTGCTCCGGTGATTTAAATCTGACCTCTAGTGGAATATGTGAAAACTGCACTTCACTTCAACAATATGGTCACTGGACAAATACAAGAGTTACTGGCTTCAAACACACTAGTCGTGGTTTTCATAAACACTTCTAAAAAGTAAACATTCCTATGGAGAGCTGCTTCTGCTTATCAGTCATGCTGAAGGTGGAAGAATTACACTTTACCACAGTAACTAATGAATATGAACCATGCATTTAGAAAGCATATTGCACACTTCACAGTCCAGCTAAGATCACTAACTCTCAGAAATACTTTAAAATTTAGCAATAGGTTTAGTACTTGAGGGGTATAAAATATACCAATACAAAAAGATAAAAATTATTGGTATAAACCACTACCTTAATTTTGAGTTTATCTATTTAACCCAGTTTGCTCCTTATATAGTATTGGGATGGAAGATGGTTAGTCTTTCAGAATTTAATGCAAAGCAAGTGTATAATTTTTCTGCTACCTAGAAAAAAAATTGCAAAGCTTACCCCAAGTCACTTTGTTAATTCCATAAGGCAAGATAATGTGAATTAGAAAGACAGAAGTGGTGAGAATAATTTTTGGAGCTATAACTGCAAGGCATCTAACTACTCAGTTATGCATCACTGAACAAAGTGTTTAACTATACTGAAGTAAAATCTATTCGCTTTCACTGAAAACTTCCAGCTATTATTGAAAGTAGTTAAATAATTACAACCTAAAATTATCATCTCATTCTAATTCAACTTATTGCAAAATGTAATCAGAAAAGTTAGGCAACATTCTTACAGCATACATGGACGGAATTGGTCTTAATATAAAAATGTATCTGCTCCTACAACACACTATACATACACTACAAAGCACCACAAAACATGATCAAAACCCCAAAACAGGGCAACCTCTATCATCAGCCTTGCGCTTTTCAGTGGTCGCGCTTCAAAGTGATGAGCTGTTTTAGACCGTCACTCCAGGTGCTGTGCATTTTAAATAGTAGCTATGTGATATGTCATCTATTTAACACAATAACAATTCTCTATTTATACAGAAAAGTTATTGTCAAATGTTTCAGAGCAATAACCTTTTAAAAAAGAAGCATGTCATGAGGTAGAATTAAAAAAAAACAATACTCAGTGCATATTGACAGGCATAGATTTAAAAAAAAATGCAAAATGAGCATTTCATTTCAAGGAATTCCGATAGTCTTAATAGAAATTACAAAAAGCTGCAATTACTTCAGGGTGCTTTTCTGCATTTCAAATTAATACACCTGTGCAAACAGCAAAAAGAGTGATTCAAAAGGATTTGCCATTGATCTTTTCAGCAAATCATTTAGCAAGCCAAGGAGTAGCAGACTGGGACGTTCAGAGAAGAGACGGTCCCTGGGAGGAACTTTTCCTTATCAAGTGGTCCACAGAAAGAAAAGCTGGAGAATTAGGGTCCTACATAATTCTGTAGGGGTATATTATTCCTAATTGGTATGAGAGTTGCATATGCGCATGCTGGCTGAGAAAATACTCTTCATTCTGGTTTTTAAAATTAACTTAGTACTAAAAGGCTACACAAACTTAACCCAATTTGCCATCCTTTGGTCTGTGAGCTGTAAATCTTCCACTACAGTTCATTTCAAGAGCACAATTTATATCTAGTTCTGCCACCCAAACAGAGATAACAGCAGATTCCTGTTCCTCTGTAAACTTTTTTTTTTTAATATAAAGTCTAATCATCTAAAAACTTTCCAAATTAGACAGACATTCTCCAGCTGAGCTTTTACTACTTTGCAGATCAGAAGCTTGCATCCTGGTCATGCAGAGTAGTACATTGGGTATTTAATGTAATTTGTAGTCCCTTACATCAGATAAGGAAAATATCTTGTAAGCAGAGTCACCCCCATTCAACAAATCCAAATTGACTGAGAATTGGATTTGCTGACTATTAACAGTACAAAATAGATACATAACAAAGGTGGGTGAAGACTGAAGGAAGGGATTTTTAATTTCAATAATTTGCATTTTGGACAAGCCATTTTGTAGGACTAACAAACTGGCATGTAGGACCATGCTTCCTACTACAGCAACTCAGTCCCCTTTATTTTTCTTTGAGAAAAACAAGTAAACTTATTTAGCTTGATCATTCTGCTTTATGCTGAAAATGGTTTATTTACATTTCAGTTTTAAAATAATCTTTTAATTCCAAGAGAATACATACTTTGATCTCTTACTTGTGCATCTCCCATCACTGCTATTCGGAGCTCCTGGTGGTAGCTCCAGTGATAAAGAGCGAGCCCATGTAGTACCTAGTTTTCACTTCAATGATGCACTGAATCCAAGGCATGTCCTTTCATTTTGGGCATAAGTAGCTGTGTACATTAGTTGCTGTAAGACGAAGAGATAACCCTATACTTTGCTTCATTAACTTAAAGTATGACTAGGTTAAGAGCCACTGCCTCCTCAATACACAAGGCTAGTATACAGAAAGTGTTCTACAGGTTGTCATTTAATACAGGAGAAACGGTGGGTAGGGACGGATTAATCAACTCAGGCTTATTGTGTGTGGAAATAGGGAATTTTGTTTCTCAATTGCTGCATGTTCAGTCACTTGAACTCAATCCTCAAACATTTAGTTGCTATGGAGTTAAATATGATTTCAAACAGGAGATGACGCAGGAGTAGATTAACCTTCCTCCAAAAGTAACGACAATCCAATGTTCATGCAAATACCCTCAGTAATAAAAAAGCCAGCAAAAAGCAGCAGGGTTCCTAAATCAATTTCTCCAAAGCTTTCCCGTGAGGCACCAGATGCTCAAAGTGAGGTAACATTAAAGTGAATTCCATTGATCCATTCTGATACACACGCACACAGGGCATGACTCATGGAGCGATCCAGTCCATTGGCAGGCTTCCAGATCTTCAACTACTGGACCTGATCAGCCTAGACCCATAGTGCCTTCTGCAGACTGTTTTTTGTTCAACAGTAAATCTACATTAAGTATATTTTATTTAAAATCCTTTCAGATACCACTGAGGACCAAAATCTAAATTCTTTCCAGCAAAATTTTCTGACTTCACTGGGTCCAAATCAGGACAAGTCCCCAGGAGCGTTTCACTTACTAAAGCCTGACGGATAAGCTAAGTACAGTTTAGGCTAGGAAGCATTACTGGCAATTTCTAGTGTAAAGTCCCATTGCTGTATATTTAAACTGACTGTGGGTTTTAAAAAAAGGTTTTTAACCTAGTTAGTACCGTAGCTGAGCAAGTGTCCCCACGTAGAGAGGTTTGCTGCCTCCAGAAGCTTTGTACCTTCTCTTCACTCCAAGCGAGTGACTGGTAGGAAGCCATGTTCATCTCCTCCTTAATGATAGTCTGAAGTCTGGAGAAGTTTCGTTCCTAGTTTCATGCAATAGGTATTCCAAATTTTAAATATGATTAAATTAATTTGCTTTCCACCCATACTATGAAATTATACATATATCCACTTGCACACTGAGTTTTGAGCCACTAGAGGACTATTTTTTTTCTGCAGATAAAAATGATTCTCAAAACATTATGTTCTTGTGATTACTATTGAAGCAACTGTATGTTCAGAAGGGTAAACGGCACTGAGGATAATTGAAACTGATTAGTTGTATCTGTGTATTCTTCTTGCTACTGAAAAATCCAGTTGAATCCAGATAATTATATATTTAGCCTGTATAAACTGTTCTCTGTTCCATACTGACAATGTAATCTGAAGGACTGTTTAATTTGGCAGAATGACAGCAGATGCCCTGCAGGCTAATTCTTTTGCAAAGGTGGTGGCTGAGATCTGGGCATGTTACAGAAGGGTATTTTATTATGCAGCTCAGCCTTGATAACACAAAGGGAAACGTCGAGGGGAGCATTTCTTAAGTTTCAAAACAAAATGTGATTAAGATTTTTTTATTAATGTGGAAAGCTTCCTACAATAAGGGCAGCAATTAGAAACCTTAGTGTCTGGGGCCCAACTTACTCCGCCGGAGGCATAACTTGTCATTTTAGGTCAAAACATTCCAAACAACTCCTTTGCAATGATCAACTCCGGCTTCCCTGCTCAATATGGCAATGTCTTCCTAGTGAATTCACTGAGGAAATGCATCTCCACGCTGACCTTTTACCATCTTGCAATAAACACAATATATGCACATTAAGGAAAACAAGCTAAGAGATTTAACTATAGCAAAACATTACAGAAAGGTGACAACATTTTTCTAGTCAATCATTATATGGTGAAAGGAAAGTGTTTTTCTTCTTTGTGGCTAAACTAAGCTAGTATGCAGGAGAACAGCTCCATTACCTAATTGTTGTAGAGGAAAGTTACAGCAATAGGAGGATGTCAGGAAGTCCAGCTCCTTCATGGCAAGGAAAGATCGTACCAGCAGGAAATGTGTGGGCATCGTTTGGCGTAACAATTCCCTCAGCCCTAGCGAGACATCTTGCAGATAGTCCACCCTAAGTCACACTGAAAGACCAGCATGTGCTACTGTGAAACCCAACCAGAAAGACTGGAAATCAGTGGCACTGGATCATCAGAAGCAGAGGTTTGCATGGAAGGCTGAAAACAGAATGCACAGAGCCTGACTTGTAGTGTCAGAACACATACAGTGCTGGACTGAGTACTCATTTCATTGCTATGTTCACAGACCATAGTAATTATGATCTTGTCCACATGTACAAGATTTTTTTTTTTTTTTTAAAAGAACACACTTCAACCAAACTGAAGTAATTATAAAAACAAACATCTGTGAAGTTCCTGTTGATGCAAGATGTGCCTAGAACTTTGGCTGATATAAAGAAACACGTCCACTAAGGCACCCTGAGGCAATCTGACAGTGTGTTGGAGAAAACTTGGTCGTCAGTACCACATCGTTGTGTGAATACAGAGAGCGGATTTCCTGCAAGGGACCGGCTTCTTTGGGCAAACAGTCGACAAGTTCACTGCACTGCGTGTCAAATCCCAACAAGCGGATCCCGTAGCCATGCGGGGAGGAAATCATTCGACCATCAGGGCTGAAACAAAGTTCTTTGATGTAACCCCGGCCTACATTGGCTTCTTCAATGCAGTGAGTCAATCGGAGAGAACAACGAGGTGAGACAGGGCGCACTGGGGCTCCTTCTTGGAATTCGTACACACAGGTCCACTAGACGGGGGAGAGAGGAAAGTTATATTTATCCACATACACGAGGAACAACCCAGTTATTCATTCACCCCCCACGTAGGTGAAGTGAGTTAGACATCGGCACTAAAGCCAACACTTTACTTCTCTCTCCTTTGATACCACTTACTGCTCTGAGCTATTTAAAACAGAACAGCCCTTAGGCCATTTCCCCCCTTTAAACTGAATAGGTAAAATTGACACAGGATTTCTCTCAGTGCAGAAGCAGATATGTCGTTGCTAAAATAAATCATTCAAAATACAAGATCTGATTTAACTGGAGGAAGTAAAATGCAGGGCTGCTGTATAGAAGAGAAGATGCGCCTACTGCAGCATAGGAAACGCTCAAGGAAATAGAGGCTCAACTGGAACTGTGATACAGTGACTCATGATTAGACACTGGAATTTCTGCACTGTTTGAACCGCAACACAAATTGGAAAACCACTTAGAAGAAAAGAGAGAAAGCTTTTGTAGGAAGATCACTGCCAGTATGTCGATATGTACATTAGTCCCAGCCAACACTAATCCAAATGGTGGCAATCTAGAACTGTATCCTAGGAAAAGGCATTCATTCATACTGAGTGCTTCTCAAACTACTGCTGAACAAGAGAGAAAACCACTCTGGCACTTTGCGGTTAAAGTTAGGGAGAGGACAAGGTCGTACTTTTTGTATTTGTTGGGCTACTAAACAGGTCACTGCAATTCACATTTAAGGTACTGATTCTGAAAAGACATGTGACTTTACTCACATGAGCAATCTCACTGAACTCAAACGGCACTACTTGTGGTTAAAGTGAAGCATGTACTTACATTTTTGCAGGATTGGGGTTTAAATTGTGGATATAAATCAGATATTAATGCAAAACACTGAAAATTTTACCAGTGCTTTGAAATCACATCTACTCAAATGCAATTTTGTAGCACACAACATAAAAGTCTTTAAATTTAGAATGTGAATTTCACTTTTTGCAACAATTCATTGAAGTGCTGTAAGACAGGAAAACACAATGCAAGGTGCTAGCTTTAGAGATGCCAATATTTGTAAAAAAAACAACTATATAGCACCTTATTATATCTTAATCTGGCAAAGTTTTGTATCCTACTCATGAAACTGTGAGGAAAAGGTTATGCTTTAACAGAAGGTCAGAGCTCGGTATCCCTCTGAAAACGACGAGAAGGATACTCCATTCATTATCCTCAAGACTAATCTACTGAAGCACCCACAAGACCATTCACAAAGGAAGCTGGTTGTACCCTTGCAGAGGATGTAGAAGCTGCCTTTAGTTATTCAGCAAACAGGTAAGAGGAACAATTCACTATACTGAACTGACCCGAGTCATGAATCTGTCCATGCAGTCTCATATGGGTTGTATCATTACCAACTTCTTTTGTAACTAAGCTACCTGCTGCATCATCAAGCCTTTCCATCCTTTATGCTTATCCAATAAACATCCATTTATTTTGGATGTTTCTTTGCCCCTATATAGATCGGGGAAGGCAATCCTGTATCTAGGCACCTCTGACTGCATTGTACAGGAGCTCACTCTTGAAGTACTAATGCTTGTCCATTATGGGCAGCTCTGTATTCTGCTTGTCCTGACTAGCCAGCAATAGAGAACTTTAATTTGCAGCATAAGCACCTAAGGGTGGTGAGGGTTTTTGTTTTTGTTTTAAGCTTATGACAAGTTGGAGTTTACACCACTGTGACTTAAGCTTGGACGAATGTTCATGATTTCCAACTGCCATGTAATGAGATGTGTGGAGCGAAGCTGGTAAAGCAACCTGTAACAATTTTTCGATGAAAGTCATAATGTATGGATCCGAGTCCAATTCTTTATGTAAATGTCCACAGGAAAGAATGAGGCAGCCACGGGTCCTAGTTAGAAACTGGTTTCTTGCAAAAGTTACAATAAGGCCACTCACATTGAATAAGCCAAGGAAACTCAGTTATCTGCATGTTCAGAAGTACTTTTTAGTGTGAAGTAACACAATGTATCTTACAATGGTTTGATTGTCAATTCATAGACTAGTCGTTATCCATCTCAGTGTAAGTCTGCCAAGCTTCCAGTAATTACTTTGCAAGACGCTTGCAGAACGTGAACGTTGCTTTGGTATGGAACAAAGCCATTCCAATGCAAAACGTGTCAGATGGAGCTAAACAATGCTGGTTTATCACTGGCAAGTGTTATTAAAAAAAGCCTTTTTGTTCTTAGAAAGTGACCTGAATATATGCCGTCGGTCTCCTAGCACACTACTCAGGCAAGCTCCAGCCCAACCCTGCAATAGCAAGGAGATTTCAGGGACAATTTTATTTTCACCATTTCAAAGATGGAGAAGGTTGCTAGAGAATGGAATCCGTGGCTCACAAATGATAGCTCATGTTCTGCACTGGATGCATTTCTGGAAGATCTGCTTTAGCTAAACACAAGTTATCAGGCTCAACAGAGGGGTAACTGGATAAAAGTTTAATGGCCTGTGATATACTGGAGATCAGACAAGATTATCTAATGCTCCCTTTCTGGCCCTAAAAACTCTATGATGGTGTTTTTACACCAAGATGCTAATTTCTACCACCAAAGTCTCTCCAGAAGGGTATTCATTGATCCACAGATATTCTGCTAAGGAGCCAGCAGTGTAACATCAGATTTCTTAGAGCAGCGCACACAAGCCTCTCTCTTATAAGCAGATAATTAAGATCTCTTGATAACCTCCAACAGGCATATACTCTGATATTTAGGAACTGCTGTTGTCGAGCACTTAGGACATCAACAAATTTTCTACTGGTAAGGAATCACATTTGCTACAGACTGTTGGCTTAGCCAAGTATTGTGAATACAAAGCTGTATCACGTATATAAACACCCCACACTATTATGAACACTCCTTAAGGTTTTAATGTCTGCACAATTATTCAGATCAATGGTGCAATCTGAAGCCTCTCAGGATCTTTAGACAAGCTTCTGGATTTGCAGGAGTGGTTTTCTCCACCAAAAGCCTGAAGGCAAAACCTGCATTTAAAAACAAATCTTGGTCATCCTGGTCTGTGGTGTTGAGTTCCTGGTGTCCTGCATGAAGCACACATGTAATGTCTGTCAGTGATTCAACTTGCTAGCACATGCTTCTTCCCTGCAAAATATCCGGAATGACAAGAAGAGGTGGTAGGCTATGATCTGACTTAAGAACACTTGATAATTCTGGATATGCACCATTGCACTGTTTGCTATCTCACCCAAGGGCAGCACATTTTTTCCTGGCTCCAAGTGTTTTCACAGTTCACCTTTGCCTGTCTTTAAGTAGCTCAGTTGAAGCCCTTTGGGGCGCTCAGGTGCAGCTTTTGTTTACCTACTGCACATCATGGCAGGCTACTCATACTGATGATAGCACAGCCTGAAGTCCCTGTTACCCTGAGAAACTGGACACTTTCTTCCAGATTGTCAGAGTGAGAAATTCTCAGCTCAAACTCCTCTTTCTTGATTGTGACCTTACTGGTCACATTCAGACTGAAGTGCAGGCTGCCTACCCAATCACTGCGCTCACCTGCATGCCAGGCGACAAATGGAATGGGACAAACATTCAAACTGCAAATCTCCCAGAAACAGGCATGCTATGGTGGTCAGGAAAAGCAAGTGATTCATAGAATCATAGAATATCAGGGTTGGAAGGGACCTCAAGAGGTCATCTAGTCCAACCCCCTGCTCAAAGCAGGACCAATTCCCAACTAAATCATCCCAGCCAGGGCTTTGTCAAGCCGGGCCTTAAAAACCTCCAAGGAAGGAGACTCCACCACCTCCCTAGGTAACGCATTCCAGTGCTTCACCACCCTCCTAGTGAAATAGTGTTTCCTAATATCCAACCTGGACCTCCCCCACTGCAACTTGAGACCATTGCTCCTTGTTCTGTCATCTGCCACCACTGAGAACAGCCGAGCTCCATCCTCTTTGGAACCCCCCTTCAGGTAGTTGAAGGCTGCTATCAAATCCCCCCTCATTCTTCTCTTCTGGAGACTAAAGAATCCCAGTTCCCTCAGCCTCTCCTCATAAGTTATGTGCTCCAGACCCCTAATCATTTTTGTTACCCTCCGCTGGACTCTTTCCAATTTTTCCACATCCAGAATCATAGAATCATATTCCCCATATTACTATTAGCTTCCTATCATTCCTAAAGATACCAATGCAAAGGTTAGGAAAATGGCATAAATTGAATACCAACTAGTCACCCTATTTCTAATTCAATCCAAAACAGTGTATTGCAACCAAAAAAAAGTCAATCCACTGTCAATCATGGAGATGCAAAATCCACGTTCACCTGCAATTAAGGAATTTGATATGCAGTTCTAGGATTTGACACTTCTTATTCTAAGTGCCAAGTTTTTAAGTACATGCCATGGTTTTTGTTTGTTTGTTTTACCTCCTGGTCATCTGTATTACTTGAGCACCGAAGAAGAGTAGCCCATCCTTTGGGATGGAGCTGCAGCGATGTAATGCAATTACCACGGTCCCTTTCTCCAGGAACTTCTGGTGTTAAAACCTCAAGACTATTTCGTGGAGATCCACCTAGGAGAGAGATACCAACCACAAGTCACACAGTATCACTACATAACTGTTCCCATCTCTTTTCACTATTGACCAACTCTACATAGCAAAACACAATCAAATGAAAAATACATTTTTGAAACTTACATCACACTGTAAGAGATTAAGTGCTTTAACACAAAATTTAACCACCCTAAGTAGTATTTATACCAGTTCCACAGATACATAATTTCTGCCTCAGTTTACTTAATTTGCTGAAGGGTACAATTAGTTAGTGGCAGAGCAGCAAGAGAACACCAGTCCTGATTCTGCTCTGACAACGTATCTTTTAAGAAGTCTGTGTGAACCCAGCTCAGATGACATTAATATGCAAAGATAGAGGATATCACACATACATTCAGCTTTTCATTGTCATTGCAAGATATTTTTAAAGAGCACAGTTCCACAGTAACCACTAAAATGGGCATTGGAAGGAGTGACTTCCCTGTATCAACCTTGCTGAGTTCACAAGTAAACAATGTTTATATTATTGCGAGCCGTGCAAACTCACCCTGGGATCTGAATCTCAAGCTGGGTTCTTTCCTTTTTGTTGCTCACCACTAAAAGGTTCTGCAGGCAGATTCTGCCCTCACATTTAGGTACTCACATAACCAACCCTCACATCACCGTAACATCTGAGCACTGCACAGTCATTAGTGACTTTATCCTCAACACTATCCCTATTTTACAGGTGAACTGATATATGGAAAGGACAATGGAACAAATTATTAAACAATCCATTTGTAAACACCTAGAGGAATAACAGGGTAATAAGTAACAGCTAATATGGATTTGTCAAAAACAAATCATGCCAAACCAACCTAATTTCCTTTCACAATAGGGTAACTGGCCTACTAGATAGGGATAAGCAGCAAACATGGTAGATCTTGATTTCAGCAAGGCTTTTGATACCGTCCCACATGACATTTTAATAAGCAAACTAGGGAAATGTGGTCTAGATGAATTTATTATAAGGTGCATGCATAACTGTTTGAAAGACCATACTCAACGCAAGCCATTGATAACTGCTCTGTCAAGTTGGGGGGTAACTCTAATGAGATTCCAGAGAGGTCAGTCCTAGGCCTGGTACCATTCAACATTTTCATTAATGACTTGAATAATGGAGTGGAGAGTATGCTTATAAAATTTGCAGATAACACCGAGCTGGAAGGGGTTGTAAGCACTTTGGAGGACAGGATTAGAATTCAAAATGACCGTGACAAATTCGAGAATTGGTCTGAAAGCAACAAGATGAAATTCAGTGAAGTAAAAAAATCCTACATTTAGGAGGGAAAAAAATCAAATGCGTGAATACAAAATGTGGACTAACTGGCTAGATGGCATTACCGCTGAAAGGGATCAGGGGTTACAGTGGATCACAAAGTGAACATGAGTAAACAATTGATACAGTTGTGAAAAAGGTGACTATCATTCTGGGGTGCAACAACAGGAGTTTTGTAAGACACAGGAGAGGATTGTCCCACTCTACTTGGCACTGGGGAGGCCTCACTGCGTCCAATTCTAGTCCCCACCTGTTAGGAAACATATGGACAAAGTGGAGATAGTTCATAGGAGAGCAACAAAAATGATCAAAGGCTTAGAAAACCTGAGGAAAGGGTAAAAAACAGGGCATGTTTAGTCATGAGTCAAGGAGACTGAAGGGTGACCTGATACTCTTCAAACATGTTAAGGGCTGTTATAGAGAAGACGTTCTCCATGTCCACTGAAGGTAGGACAAGAAGTACCGGGCTTAACCTGCAGCAAAGATGATTTAGGTTAGATACAGTATTAGGAGAAACTTTCTAATTAAAGATAGTTAAGCACTGGCATAGGGTACCAAGGGAAGCTGTGGAATCCCCATCACAGGAGCTCTTAAGAGCAGGTTGGACAAACACCTGCCAGGGATCCTGGTTCTGCCTCAGTGTGGGATGGGAGTGGGGAAAGGAGGCTGGACCAGATGACCTCTCAAGGCCCCTCCAGCCCTACACACAAAGATTTAGTGACTTGCCCAAGGTCACACACTGTCTCTGGCAGAGCAGTGATTCTCCTGAGTCCCAGTCCAGTGTGCGAAGCATGAAGCCACCCTATGTCTCTCCCACTTTAATAGGTTTGTATAGGTCTACAGCTTGCCCTGTAACTGGAATTTCATGGCCAATTCTGTTGATGCCCAAGGACAAATAGAATCTGTCTCACTCCACCGGGTTAGCTCAGCATAGTTAAGAGAAGCAGTAAATGGGTTTTTTTTTCTGACACTAAAGCAAACAGAAGAAACTGAACATACAAGCAGCGGGGAGTAGTTCTACTGAGTAAGGTGTTATTTTTACACAATCACTTTTCCAAGTGTAAATTCTTTCAAAACTGCTTCCATTTACTAAAAGAAGCTGTATTTCTTCCTCTAGCAATCATGGCATAAATGCCCCAACTACTCAAATGAATAAGCAGCACTGAGAAATACTGCACAATCAAAAAATAATTGTGATTTCATCATATGCAGAAGGGTGCTTATGTCATAGAATCATAGAAATGTAGGACTGGAAGGGACCTCGATAGGTCATCTAGTCCAGTCCCCTGCACTGAGGCAGATCATCTCTGACAGGTTTTTGCTAACTTGTTCTTAAAAATCCCCAAGGACTGGTATTCAATAACCTCCCTTGGTTCCATGCTTACATATCCTTAGAGTTAGGAAGTTTTTCCTAATGTCTAACCTAAATCTTACTTGCTGCAGATTAAGTCAATGTCTTTCCTTCAGTGGAGAACAACTGATCTTTATAACAACCTTTTACATACTTGAAGACTTATGTTCTCCCTCAGCCTTTTCTTCTCTAGGCTAAACATGCCAATTCTTTCAACCCTAACCTTTCCTCATACGTCATGTTTTCTAAACCTCTTTTTTGTTTCTCCCCCCTGGACCCTCATCCATTTGTCCGCATATTATGCATTAATGTAAAACAAGTGTCTTGTTTCTCTTTTGAAATCTGAAAGCAACAAAATTAGAACTCCGGACATCACCATTCTATATACTGTGATGATGTACAGTACTGAATTTGTGGAAAACCTAGTGAGATTTTTAAAATAGCCTAAGCAATAAGAGGTAGGAAAATATATAAAACTTAAAAAAGTACACAGTATTTATTCACTTTTACATTTTGGCTACACACTGGACCCACTTACACATAAGAACCTATGCGTTTTATTCTAGTCTTAACATACCTTCTCGTTGGGAGGGTCGGGACATGTGTTTCTCGGACAATGGACCGGAATCATTCTGGTGACATGGTGAACCCACAGTTCTAGGACCAGATGAACTGGTAGCTGTCGTATCTGAAACCAGAGTAGCAGGCATGTAGATCTGACAGATGGGAGAAGCGCTTTTGCTTTGTATGTATCTCATTTTAACGTCCTCTGAATGTAAACCAGCACAGCCCTGATCAAATAGGTCTCTCTAATGAAGACAGTGCTTTCCCAAGAAATGCCTTAAACCTCAAACAATTGAGCACCAAACCACTAATTCTAACCCAAAATGAGCTAGTGTTCAGTGCACTCTTTTCAATTTGAAGTGTGGCTCTGCTCTGAAAAACAACCCTAGAAGTACCATTATGGGTCCATGTTTGCGTCTGATACAAGTAAACTAACTGCCAGCATGACAAACTCAACCTGGGGTCTAAGAGTCAGGCGCTGGGTTCTCCCCTGCTCATGCTTCTGCAGTAATGGATGCTGAAAGGTAAAACAGTCCCTCAGTCACACCTGTGCAACTCCATTTAGACTGAGGCTGCACAGGTGTAACTCGGGTCAGGGCCTGACCTGCAGCATCTTTGCCACTGGGGCTGATGAGTCAAACAACAAAATTCAACTTGGATTCAGGGTCTGTATGAATGGCAGATCGCAATTAGAAAAAATCTGCTCCATTCACTAGTAACTACAGCAAATTTGCTAGGAAATAACATGAAGCCCCATTATGCCATTTATAAGGTCCCTTTTCAAAGCAGCACTGCATGTTTAGTAGGTTACCTTGTCTTGATCACTGGGCAGCCTATAGTAGCTCTGCTAAGACAAAAATGACTGACACCAAACAGGAAGGGAGGTGCAGAGTACATTTTTAATTTTGGGGACTATTTTGTTAAGTTATTGCAATGTGGCAAAATGAACCACAGAATTTCCTGTTGCTGAGTTCTCTGAATCCTGCTACTAAGTATTCCACAGCACCCATGTTACAGACCAATAGGAAATAGTCTCCCACATTAGTTATTTCACATTTGAGCACTCTGGTGTATCCTATTAAGGCTTATCTACACTTAAAATGCTAGCAACGCTTCAGCGCAGACATTACCTACACCAATGGGAGGGATTCCCCCATCAGCACTGGCAAGCCTCCTCTGCAAGAGGCAAGCTTGGTCAGTGGAAAAATTTTGTTGTTTGACTCATCTGGTGCTGTCTATATGGGGACTTTGGTCAGCTTAACTACAGGCCAGAGTCACTCCTGAACAAGGTAAAATAGCGATCATAGTGCCACTTTCCTGCTAGAATCTTCTTAGCCACGCCTCTAAGGGCATGTCTACGCTACCCGCCGGATCGGCGGGTAGTGATCGATCTATCGCGTCTACTGATCCCCGATCACTCTGTCGTCGACTCCTGTGCTCCACCGCGGCGAGAGGTGGAAGCGGAGTCGACGGGGGAGCGGCGGCAGTCGACTCCACGCCATGAGGACGCGAGGTAAGTCAACCTAAGATATGTCAACTTCAGCTATGCTATTCTCATAGCTGAAGTTGTGTATCTTAGGTCGATCCCCCCTGCAGTGTAGACCAGGCCTAAGGGAACAGTATACAAATACCTCTATCAATGGATCACAGAGTACAGATTTTTACTAACAAGAATTCACCTGAACTTGATGTAGTTCTTCTGGCTCTTAATATTGGATAGCTGCCAACCTCTAAGGACTTGGTTAAATCAAGGTCATGCAAAATCAGAAGATATCCAGAGGAAGTGGAGATCAACATTTTTGAACAGTCTGGTGTCAGTCTCATCCGCATGAGAAAACGGGTGTGAAAAAACTTCTTGTGAGGACATCCTTCTTCGGTGCACCTGGACAGTGCGAAATGAGAGAGATGATTAGGGTCAAGATTGGCAAAAACAGGAGCCTAAAGTTAGATTCTGAAATCCACAGGTCAATTCATAAACACATGAGCTGATTTTCCAAGTGCTGAGCACTCTGTGTGTCCCCCCCACTGACTCATTCACCATTTGTACACTCTCTTTTGGATCTCATTTAAACTGGACTTTATATGGAGGGTGGGAATCTGCGACGTGCACACTTGAATTTCTAGACTGATATAGCACATTGTTTCAATCTGACCTACACAGCCTCCTTTGAATTTTTAGATCTTCATCCCAATAAGGCAGTCCTAATTCTTGATTGTCACCATTGGCTGATGAGCAATCAGTGACAGAATTTAAGAATGTATTAAGTTTCCATTCACAGCAAAAGAGTTTCATCCAAGATGAATGTATCTATTTTAAAAGAGCCCTACCACAGTTCATATATTTAATAACCATACATAACCCATATTCACATACCTGTTGGTGTCCCAAATGATCACATTGCCATCAAACCCTGATGTTACTAGTAGTCTGGTATTGGTGTCATATTCAATGTTCTTCACCCAGCTCGTGTGACCATGTAAAGTGCACACTTTTGTGTTTAGCTTTCTCAGATCCCAAAGTGCTATCGTAGTGTCATCAGAGCAAGTTGCAAACAGTCGATTATCCAGAAACCTGTGAAGTTGACAGTTAAATATTGTAAAGCAAGCACAGTCTTGTCTGCCTTGTGTGTCTAAGGCGTTTCAGACTTAGTTATTCCTGAACTGGGAATTATGATTTATAAAAATAAAGCTACACACAAAGGACTGATAGTTTGCAGTAGCAGACAGTTTAGTGATGTGACTCTTACCACTCTTTTTGTGGCAAAAACGTAAGTATCAGTTTCATATTCCATCGCCAGGGACAAACTAAAGAGAGCAGCTAACAAGATCTATGGAAATAGAGCAGGGGAGGACAATATTTTTTCATAGCATGGACCACATCTTAAAGACTGTCTCAGGGATGTCCCATTGGTGGTTTTCATAGATTATCAGGCCAGAAGGGACCATTGTGATCACCTAGTCTGAACATGCCACAGGCCTTTCCTGAATTAATTCCTGTTTGAACCAGCCATATATTTTAGAAAAGCATCCAGACTTGATTTGAGAGATTTCCAGTGATGAAGAATCCACCACAATGCTTGATAAGTTGTCCCAATGTTTAATTACCCTCATTGTTAAAACGTACCCCTTATATCCCGTCTGAAGTTCTTTAGCTTCAACTTCCAGCCATTGGATCTTGTTATACCTTTGTGTGCTAGCCTGAAGAGTCCATTATCAAATTTCTGTTACCCACGTAGGTACTTACACACTAATCAAGTCACCCCTTAACCTACTCTTTATTAAGCAGAATAGATTGAGCTTTTTAGTCTCTCACTACAAGATGTTTTCCATTCTGTAAATCATTCTTGGGGCTCTTCTCTGCACCTTCTCCAATTTATCAACAGCCTTCTTGAATTGTGGACACCAGAGCGGGATACAGCATTCCAGTAATGGTCACGCCAATGCCAAACACAGATGTATTGCCACCCCCTGCTCCCATTTGAGATGGGTCTGTTTATACATCCATTAGCACTTGTGGCCATAGCGCTGTACATGTGCTTTGAGTGCAATGCCCCCCCCCCCCCCCCCCAGTCCCTCCATGTCCCACTACTTGCTACCACATCTTTAGCAGATTGCAGCATAATGGCTGGCCTTTTAATAGACATATGGAATGAAGACACTGCAAGCCAAACTGCCATGGAAGATGTGCGGTAAGAGTTTATTGGATTTATAAGGCTTGCCACTAAAACAGGAAAGGGGCCCAAAATGTGTCTCAGGTAGCACTGGTGACACTGATCTCCCCCCGCCCCCAAATACTTTTTGGGCAGGGGAATAAAATAAATTTCTTAACTAATGGTGAGAAAAATACTTTTAAAATAGTCATTTATTTCTTTACAGATATATATATAAGCACCCAACACTGTACTATATAGCCTGTCATCCCTGGGGCAACTAAAGCAATTGCTCGTGTGGAAGATGCTAGGAAAGGATTGACTGTATTTTTAACTGCGTTTTAGTACAGTTTAGCAGGTGGAAGCTAGAAATTAGCATCACGTGACCAGCCAGCTTTCAGACCACCGTTAGTAAGAGACTCCCATCGGGGAGCCTCTTTATTAGAGGGATATTCTCAAGGCTGTCAGATTTCATTTAGACCTCCAGCCTTCACTTTGGTTTCAGAACAGCTCCACTTTTGTCAGCAGGCAGAGTGCTGAAAGATACAGGAATCCTCGTCTTCACACTTGAGATTCTAGTAGGTTTCACTGAATTGAGATGACATGGTACTGTTCTTTACTCTTTTTGCCCCTCCCTCCTTACCAATTCCTTTGACTCTTCCTCCCATGCTGGACAAAATCACTAGCTTCTCTCCATTCAAATCCCTCCTTTAAAAAAAACACACAGAACACATTTTCTGTGAAGCCTACCAATATTAGCCCATTATTAAACCCTGTCCCACTGTAAAAGGGACTCACCTAGCTGAGCTAGCCAGTGCATTTTATGCCTGAAATATTTTCTGGCTAAGTCACAAACTCCTTGGGGTTTTATACAGCACACCACTGTCACTTAAATAGCCAAGTAAACTAGTAAGGGATTTTGACCCAAGCACAAGGAGACCTCACCTCATTGTGACCTATTAATATTACTGACAAAGCAGAGTGTTTCAAAGTTTTGGTGACTGAAGAAAGTTAACAGGAGTCAAATTTTCAGAAGCGCTGCCACACAACTAACTAAATCTGGGCTGGGCCATGGTTGTACTCTGACACCCAGGGTAATTGCATTACTACCTTGATTACAAGAATTTCTGAAAATCTGGCCCAAAATTGGCAGAGAAGCTTATAAAGATGCCTTTCAACAATACCGGAGAGTTAGTCCAGCGAAGAGCTGATCGTGATATAGTGAAATATCACTTTTATCCTTCTAGCTTAGTATTTCCTTTTTACTGCGACTCATGAAAATGTTTAAAGACACTACAGAGGTTTTGGCTTTGTTTCTTTTTATTTATCCAGAGTGTTCGTAATATCCCCAGAATCTTGAATGCGAACACTTCAGTCCCTACTGGTTTTGTCTGTAGTTTCCTTCACTGCCTATTGCAGGGACCAGCATGAAGACAGTAAAACTCTGGGAATATTGCTCACCGTGGCTACAAGAGCCAGCAGAGGGAGCTCTGTACAGGATTGAACACAGATTTTAAAAAAAAAACGGTAACAGGAGTGAGACAGACCTGAGCAATTTGCTCCTAGGCTTTGCCATCATAGGAGGTCAGGTCTACCTTCCTCCCACCTTTCTCCAATCACTAACTTCTGCTAACCTCATTCTTCTAGTTTCTTGGCCTTTCTCCCCATCTTCCTCCAACCTCTCCCTACTTGGTCCTACAATTTCATCCCCTCCTTATCACTTCCCTCCACAAAAAGAAATTTAAAATCTTAAATAATTCCATACCAAAACGTCTGCACTAAAAGATCGAGTTGTGTAGTGAAGCACCCAAGAGCCATGGAATGCCTGCACAGCTGGAACTTCACCCCTTTGTTCATCTGAATTATGATACGGTCTTTAATGACATCCGCACACTTTTCCTGCGCAGGACCCCTGCCTCACTCAGTGCACAGGCTGGACTGAACAGTGAACATGGCAATTCAATATTTAGTTATTCTCAGGGTGGAATAATATAAAAGTCAAGGTGATTTAAGCCACTGCATTTTTTCTAAAAAGTCATCGATTTAAATCAGGTTTGAGGCTTTGTAAAACTAATTTAAAAATTTGTGCTACTGCAACTTTAGATTAAAATTTAAAGTGAACTAATTTATAAGTGCTGTTTTTCTAAATGCCACTATTGGTACAGTATCACTGCAATGTCACAAAACTGCTGGAGGCAAAAAACACAGAATATTGAAAGCGAAGGTCAGCATTTGCAGGATCCAGAAGATAACAACTTTACCCACATGACTTGTCCCAACGGCTTCAGTGGGACTATCAATGTACTTAAAGCTACGCATGTGCGCAAGTGCCCGCAGCATCAGGGATATCATTATTGAAAGCATTAGTGTCAAAATCTGTCACTTGAAAACAAAATTGCTCCACGTTAACAGTGAAAAAGTTATTTAGACTTCCGACCCATTTAACAGTTATTAACTAATACACTGGCCAGTTTCCAAAAGCAGGGCCTAGGCTCCTAAACCTATATTTAGGCACGTAAAAGTGGGATTTTTCCAAAAATCCTAAATCCCATTGACTTCAGGTTGCAAACCCTGATGAAGTAGCATAACCTGGTCAAAGCATTTCAGCTTTCTTGGCTTATGGAAGTTCAATATATAGGAAGGTGGTGTTAGCCTGTGCTATATTTACAGGCATTTGCATATCAGTTTTATGTCTGATTTTGGGTTGGTCACAGAGTAAATATGCTAGTGAGGCCCTGGATTTTTCTTTTTCAGCACGGACAAAGATTAAGTGCAAAAGTTCTTAGAAGAAAAAAAGGTCTCTGTGAAGTCTGAAAGGATGCTAACTAAAATGAGTATACCAGCTTTAGTAATTTAAGACTACAAAACAGGAAGTAAAGAACTAACATGTAAATAAAAAAAATTGAACGTAAAAATATATTTAAAAAAGAAATGATTAAAAAAATCTTTAAGAAAACCATGATCTTTACCCACCCTGAGTATCCTGACCATTCAATATGCTGTCCCCGTACTTCATTCTCTGCACACCGACTAACCTATGCATGAAACGAGGCATATGTACTACACACTTGCATCAGTCTATACACACCACCCAATGTCTGCTGCAAATGAGTATGATGGCTCTCCATTATTTAGTGAGGAGACACATTGGGAAAAAAAAGAGTCAGGCACTTTACCTTCTGTCAAGTAAGACGACTTTGAAACGGGAGTGGTGCAAGACTATGGATGGTCTAGTCAGATTATTACAGTCATCAAATTAAGCACGTAATGCTATCAGGTGATACTTCTTTATCCTGATAATCTCTGGTCTTCAGACAAAACTTCTGGATCAGATCCATGACTTGACTAAATCATAGTCTACTAGTATACACAGGGAGGAGACAGCCAATACCAGAAGGTTCTTTAATCTAGCACAACAAGAGCCCGGGGTTGGAAGCTGAAGCTAGAAAAATTCAAACTGGAAATAAGGTGTGATTGTTTTTTTAAACAGTAAGAGTAATTAATCAATGGGACAGCTTAAAAAGGGAAGTGGCAGATTCTCCATCACTGGAAGTCTTTAAATCAAGATTCTTCCTAAAAATATGCACTCTGCTTCAGCCACAAGTTTGTTGGGCTCACTGGGTGACGTTCTATGACCTACACAATGCAAGTCCACCTAGATGATCACAGTGATCTCTTCTGGCATTAAAATCTATGAGCTTGCTTTGCTTCAGCACAGAGGAAAATGACCAGACTGTTTGTGCTGTTGTAAGGGAGGTGCTTGAAATGATTAAACAGATCCAGAGTAAATAAAGACAGGGCAGCAGGGATTGGCTTTAAGGGGAGAGAAAGTTCCTGAGGTTGCAGCAAGGCAAGAACCCCAAGCCACTGAAAACGAATGGTGATAAAACACCGGCAACATGTTGTATTTTTCAAAATAGAAACCAGCTCTACATTGCTCAGTAACTATGTAAAAATGGCACCTTTTCACTCAAGGAGGACATGACTAAATACACTGGAAAGGACCCTGGTTAGCTCTATCTGGCCAACAAAGCTATGGGCGAGGGAGCTTAATGCTAACCTTCCTTGCAGATCAACTCGGTTCCAGTCAGTTATCTTTACACATTAAAAAAATTACTTCTGTCGCATCATCATCCATAGATCTCTTAGGTAACTGGGTTGTATACTGAGGGCGTACTTGGTCTGGTTTATTGCTGTGTGAAGAGGAAAGAATTCAGCTCGACTCTAGCTCATGTTGCATTTGTAGGGCTGGCAGGTTAAATCACCCCAGGTTTAGTTGTAAACTGAGCACATCTGATAAGAAAATCATTGTGATACAGAACCCACAACCTCATTAGCCATCTTTACTCAGTCACTTTTCAGGAATAGAATATTTTAGGAATCCCAGGTTTGGAAATTTACAATATAAAGGAGGGCAGGGTATCAGAATGAGCATTTACAGCGGGTGGGATCTCAAAGCAAAAGCGGAGTTGACGATACACCAAATACCTATAAACTAGAGGCAAATAAAAGACAAGAGTGAAGGGCTCTGGCAGGAAGGTCAATGCCATGCTGAGAAGCTCAATCCTTGCCCTTTTCCCACCATGTGTCATGCTGGCCCATCTTTCAAAGCCACCTCAGGGTGGGAGTTGTCCGATCCCTACCTCTAGGAAGGATGGAAGAAGGTGCTTACTCACAGTAAAAACAGACAAAGTGTTGAAGGGGAAATAGGCACAAAGAGATGAAGTAACTTGCTCAAGATCACACAGTAAAGCAGTGGCAAAGCTGGGACTAGAACCCAGGTCTCCTGATGCACAGTGCAGGCCCTCATCCACTATACTACATTGCCTCCAGTAACATTCCTCCTTCTAGCTAAATCTCAGGTTGAAGCAAGTATAAAGGGACAAAGGTGCGTTGTATGTACATGTTCAGTATTACGTTGCGTGCTTACTTAATTGTAACCTTGTCCATCAACTTTCTCCCCACTCACAAACTGCAGTATGGTAACTCGTACAGTTATACTACATTGTCTGTTGACAAGACAAAAAGCACAGAATAGCAGAGGACTGATCTGTATATCACTACAGCATCATGAACACATTAACACGTACAGTTAGGAAAAATGTTGGAGTTCTATTTACTCAAAGTTTGGTTTTGTTTCCCATGATACTAACCTGATATTATTCACACAGTCCTCATGAGCTTCAGAGAGAGTTTTGATGTGCTTTGAAGATATGGGGTCAAAAAGCAGGACCTCAGTCTGTTCACAAGCAACAGTTAGCACTGACCTGAAAAGCAAAAGAGGTATCTTGCAGTTAGTAAAGAGAAATGAAGGCTGCAAAGTAACCATTACAGCTGTTGTCACTGATTCATCTCTGTTCTATTGCTAAATGTGCACATTCCACAGATGGCTACTGTTCCGATTGGCTTTGTACAGTTACCTTTTCTCAAACCCTTCCTACTTCATGATTGTACAGTGGAAATTGGTCTACTGCAGGGGTAGGCAACCTATGGCATGCGTGCCAAAGGCGGCACGCGAGATGATTTTCAGTGGCACTCTCACTGCCCGGGTCCTGGCCACCGGTCCAGGGGGCTCTGCATTTTAATTTAATTTTAAATGAAGCTTCTTAAACCTTATTTACTTTACATACAACAATAGTTTAGTTATATATTAGACTTCTAGAAAGAGACCTTCTAAAAACATTCAAATGTATGACCGGCATGCAAAACCTTAAATCAGAGTGAATAAATGAAGACTCGGCACACCACTTCTGAAAGGTTGCCGACCCCTGGTCTACTGCTTACTCACTTACCAAATCAATTCCTCGACTACCTATTCAGAAAGATTCCATCTCCTCTACAGCCTGGCTGTTGGCATACATTGATGCACAGCTGGTGTATTCACTGGACAGATCACATGATCTTTTTAATTCAGCGTGTTTTAGATGCAGTGTGGTTCTTTTATAGCTATTGAACTGATATGTTACCTCATAACATTTGATGACAATTAGGTATATTTTAGTACAGTTTTACAGTGTTCTTTAAGGGTACTTTGCCCCATCAGTACAGTACTTTATATTCTAACCTAGGAGTTCCTAGGTGGGAAAGTGTGCACGGATTGGTTAAGGATTATTGTCTGTAATAAGGACAGGAAAAGAAGGATGAAGAGTAGTAGTGAAGATATGGGTTATATTCCTCACCTCTATCACAGATTTCCTGTGTGACCATGGGCATTTAACAATCTTCCTCTAGCTATACAATGGGAATACATGCCTCTCGGAAGGGTACTGGGAAGCTTTATTAATTCATGTGTTGAGATCCTCAGACAGAAACCTCTAATACACATGCAATGGACAGTAGTAGTACTTAAGTACATTTGGAACACAGGTGAGAACTCTAGAATCTGGGTCATGTGTCACCACCCTGCCAGTTGTAATGTATGTGTTTGGATCATTTCAAACTAATACACATGAAGGTGTTCTGTAATCAGCAATCAACCAGTAAATATTTGACATTTACCAATACTAACCAAACCAGATAATTACTTCATTTCAGGCAGCTGTTTCTGAAAGTCAAATTAATTTGCTCTCAGTCATAACAGCTCATCCCTTTCTCTATAATAATTTTGAGTTGGGTAGCTGCTCACTTGGGGCCTGATCCAAAGCCTACTGAAGTCAGTGGAAAGAAAACATTCAGGATATACTATTTAAAGAGTGCTCTGTCTGAAAGCAGAATTCCTTTAACCTGACTAATTTTTAAATATTCAAGTAGAGTGCCATTTAAGGATAATCTGACCATTCCAGGAGCTCTGTTAAAACTTCTCAATTATTCTGCATAAGGAAAAAAAAGCCCACACTTTTGGAGCAGAATTTGGCAATCATTAAGAACTTTAAACTACTTAGCTATTTTAGGACTCAACCATTTATTGCTAAAACTTTAGAAGAAAATAAAGCTGATGTGGGTTACTAAATCTTAAAGATTTAAAACACAGGTAGAAGTCAGAGGAACGATTATTTGCAAATGTGTCACTTGTCACTAGCTGTGGCTAAGGGTGTCTTCACAGCCAAAAGGTAGTTATTTACAGCAGGTTAAAACTAATGTGGGTTAGCTATCTCACGGTACAATCCTAGTGGAGGTACGGCGCAGGTAGCTTTTACTACAATGTACGTAGGCAAGATCAACATCCCGTTCACTTCATTGAGACCCACCTTGCGATAAAAACTACAAAGCCTTGTCTCCACTAGGGTTTTACAGAGAGCTAGCTAGCACATGTTAATTATCCTGCTGTAAATGCAGTGAAGACTGGCCTAGGTGTACCTGTTCGCTGACATTAACAATTGTCAAAAGTTGTTCTCAGAATCTGAGAATCTAAGACCCTTTTCAGGGCATGTTCACAGATACCACCAGGAGCAAATGGCAGCAAGACAATTTATAAAAATCCCAGAGAGGCACACAAGCATAAGACGGACATAATCTTTTGGGGAAGTCTGGTTCTGCATTAGTCAAGGGTATCCCATTTCTCTACCAAAAGACATTTATGGTTTTAAAATCAGTTGAGTGTCACTGAGCCAGATGATGAGCATTACTAAGCTTACTTTGCATCAAGAGAGCTACACAAACTGATGTTAGAGCTGCCCTAAATGGGAAGCTAAGGATTTCCCCAGCATAAGAGGATTCTTGATGCAATGAGGTATTTCAGCCAAGAAGAAAATGTGCTCCACCAAATCCTCAACCAGCAGGATGATCCCATGGGGAATGTTCTAGCTAGCCTAAGTCACAGTAGGCCTGTGCCTGTTGACTTGCGACAAGTGTCAATTTGGTTCCAAAATCAGCCCAGGATCATCGGATGTGGAAAGGTAGCTTTGGCCTTGTCTACAATGGGTACTTTTGCACTGAGGTAGTTACACTGGCAAGTGACTTTTTACAGCCGTGTAGCACATCTACACTAGGGGTTTGCAGTGGTGTTTCACTGTAGCTATGCCAGTGCAGGAGTCCCAGTGTAAAAAAACTTATCTCATCACACAAAACAGCACTAGTTTAATCATCCATCAATGCTTCCTACTATTGTTACTGAGTGCTCGCTGTTGGTAATATATCTTCTACTAGAGTCAATGGAAGTGGAAAAAGCAACAAGATAGTAATCAGATCATGACTGCGTAATCCACTGTCATAGGACTGCTGCAGTTCTAAGCAAATACTTTACATTGCTGGACAGTGGAGATCCACAGCTTTCCTGTGGCTCAAGTCATTTGTTTGTAGTCCTGGTGGGTCTCCCAAGGTAACACCTTAGAACTGACGCTGGTCTCCCCCAGCCTAGCACTCTCTTTTTGGCAGAAAAGTGAACACAGCAAGTCACAGACCTTGAACTAGAACTTGTAACCCAGATGCCCATTGATTCAAACATGGCGCAGGTTGTCATTAAAGCGATGGTTCAATCAAAGAGGTTCAAAGTTTTCTCCAGTAGCTTGTGACCAGCTGTTAGTTTTACAACAGAATTCTAACCGTTTACATACCATGCCACTCCCTGGGCCAAATTGTGCTCATCTTACTTATTCACAAGTTCCACTAAAGTCAGTGGTACTATTTGCATATGTCAGGCAAACAGGATTCAACCTTAACACAAAATCTTTGGCCCCAATACACGGTGTCATTGTATAGTTAGGCCTTGGCAGTGTAGCTTTTTTTAAAAATCAACTCTTGAAAGCATTACACAGATTTATTTCCTTACTAAATTTCCCAACCGGCAACATGAATACACCTCACTTTGTTAGTGTAGAAATCTTTTTAAAAGATCTGGTGAAATTACCACACTGAACAACAAGGACTTTGCAAGCAAGAAGTGGACAAAACTTTTTGGCCTCCAAATCTCGACAGCATCTCTAATGGCATCTGCTCAGTTCCTTATTCTCTCACACATCAATGAGCAGGAGACCTATAGATTCATTCTCTCTTCAGCCAAACAACAAAGCATACACTATAATAATGCACTCACACACTGACATTGGATTTGTACTGGTTAAACTTTCAGAACAGCAAATGAAACTGGAACAGGTTTGTCAAATCAGGAAACAATACACGATTTAACTTTTAACACTCTGCCTAGGAGTAGGAATACAGCTATTGTCATTCAAAGACAGACCAAGAGTCAGTCTAGTCCCAGTATCTACTTTACTACACCACGGTCGATGAGGAAGACTTTTTTTCCTACCCCAAATCGTTAATAGATTATATATGCCCTGAAAGGATACTTTGTTGCTTTCTTTTAAAATAGCATATCCACGAATGCTATTGTTTATATACATGTCTAATCACTGTTTAATCTAATAACCTAACATAGCAAGTTACACAGAATTAGATATATTTTAAATATATTGGTTTCAGTAGTTGATTTCATAGTTTTAATGGGCACCTTCTTTGTTCCCTTATTATCCAATTGGCCTTTCCCATTCATTGCTTTCGAGAGGTTTAGGAGAGAGACTGAATGCACTATTCAAGGCGAGGACATACCATCAAGTTTACATAATGTTTTCCGTATTATTCTTTATTTCCTCCTAAATACAGCCGAACATCTAAGCCCACTGAATACTGAATTGTTTTCTATGACTTGCATCTGCCATCATACTGCCCAGTTACTCTGTGCAGCTACGTTGGGAGGAATTTTTCACAACCCCTTCCTAAATCTTGACTAACAAATCATTTGTCAGCAACTTTTGCCACCTCACCATCTATTCCTCTTTAAGGTCCAGTATTGACCACTGGTGCTAGTCCCTGAGGGACCCCATTACTAAACATTTTGTTTACAGAGAACTGGCTGTTTATTCCTACTTTTTGCAGCCTGTTACCCAGTTTAACCATTCACAAGATATCTCCTGTCATCTTGCAGTTGCCAATTTTAACAGCTTCTTGTTAGTGACTTTCCCCAAAGATCTTAAGTTGTATCTACCAGTACCTTTATCCTCTGCTATCGTGTAAGTCCAGCAGATGGGACAGAGGATTAGGAGGTGGAAAACTCAAGTTCTGTTCACAGCTTTATTATGTGACCTTGTGCAATTCACTCTCCTTCAATTTCCCCACTGGGGAAAAGGGCTAGTGATACTTACTGACCTCAATCAATTTCCTTGAGATCCTCAGACTATTAATTGTAATTGTATTAAGCCTCCAACTGGTTGGAGAGACAGTTCAGCCTCTGAAAAACATTCTACTCCTCTAAGTGCTGTTTGAGTGGATTTTGGCCCTCTATTTCTGCCCCCCCCCCCCCCCGAGGCAATTAATGTCCATCCTGTGATCACGATAGCTATTGTTGCAGCAGAGTACAATAGTGTTACCCACCCTTCAGTCCTCTGGCATATAGTGTGACTTAAGCATCATCCCAAACCCAAGCAGGCCCACATGGGGGTGCACAGACAGGCCCATCAGCACCCAATTCCCCACATGGCAGACACCCTCCATCCCCATCAGAGCCAAGATCCCTCTGTCCCAGGAATAGGAGTGTCTCTGTGGGCTCCCCCAGGAAGCAGATCATCTCCACTGGTTGCCCACGGTGGGTAGAGAGCTCTGTTGTACCCCAAAGGATTTCAGGGGGTCCCTCCCCCAGCAAATGGCAGGGTGGGAGTATCTCAGGTGGGTCTCAGCAGTCTCCTACCTGTCCAGGTGAGGGGGTGGGAGATACCTGACTATGCCCCAGCAGGGTCCCCCGCCACAGTCCCCCACTTGAATGGGAAGGAGTCTTTCTGCAGAAGGGTGCGTATCCAGATGGGTCACAGTCTCTTACTGATCTGGGGGTGGGGGCTCCCTGGAGAGGGGAGGTGATGGGGTCCCTGTCGAGGTGGAAGGAGGGGGGCTGAGCATAGGGAGATGCAGGGAAGGATTGGGGCGTGGGGGGGGGGGGGTGGGCGGGGGGGGGGGGGGGGGGGGGGGGCTGGAGAGGTGTGTGTGTGTGTGTGTGTGTGTGTGTGTGTGTCGGACCAGGAGGACAGGTCTGGGGAGGGGGTATCTGGGGCCGGGGGTGAGGAGAAGGGGACGTGGTCGGGGGGGCCGGGAGGCTCGGGGCGGGCCAGGCGGCCGGGCCGGGCCTTACCCGTCCGGCGAGTACTCCAGGTTGAAGACGGCGCCGTGCGTGCGGGTGCTGAGGTACACGGAGTCGGCGGGCTGGATGGAGCTGTACAGCCCGGTCATGGCCCGGAAATTGTCGCGGGCCGGGTCCACGTAGAGCCCCCGGCCCAGGCAGCGGCCCCGCAGCCACCCGAACAGGCCCCCGCCCGCCGCCGCCCCCGGGGCCTGTGGGGAGGCGGGCGGCGGCGGCGGCTCCCCCGGCGGCTCCTTGGCGCTGGGCGGCTCCATGCCGGGGGACGGGCCCGAGGGGCCGGCCGCCTCCCCGCGCGCAGAGCTCATCCCGCGCCGCGCCCGGCCGCGCGCATCACAGCGCCCGGCCCCCGCGCGCCGCTTCCGGTGCTGGCCGACCCGCCGGCCGGAAACCGCCAGCGCGCGGCCAGGCTCCGCCCCCCACCAGGCGGGGCCGCTCACAAGCCCCGCCCCTTCCGGTCCCACTCCGCCATTGCCCCGCCCCCATGGCAGGCCCCAGCCCGCGCGCTGGCTCAGCTCCGCACAGCTCGGGAGAGTCCCGTCTACACACAAACCGGAGTGAAGCTGGGGAAAGAGGGTGTGACTGGGGTGGGGCTAGGGAGGGAAGTCAGGGATCTCATAGGGTTACCGCCCCTTCTTCATCAACACCTGAGCAAATCCTGCGGGAGGTGGGGGCGAGGAGGGGAGGCACGACTAGAAGTGCACACACGTGTGCACACTCCCTGCACGGCAGCGCCCAGCTCCCTGGAAGCTCCCTGCAGGTTGTCACCCGGGGAAAGGGGGGTTGGGGGCAGGGTCGTGCCAGCTGGAAGATCGGCTGAGATCTGCTCCTTTTCCCTAGCAGTAGGACGGGGGTGTGGAGAAGCTCTAGGGCTGCAGGTTAGCTTCAGCCCTCATCCACAGCTCAGGGGAAAGATTTCTCCCTCCTTCGCTGTTTACAGAGTACCCCACCTCAGTTACTTGGACTGGGTTCCTAGACAACAACTTCACTCTTCAAAGCCCACTAAAGTCAGTTGAAAGGCACTCACTGACTTCCATGAATGTTGTCTCTAGCCTGCAGCTTCTCACTTACAAACCTTTTATCGCTAAAATGGGGGGCTTTTTCAGCTAGTCACCCACAAAGGAGAAAAGATCACATTTCACACAGTCCAACCATTTTCAAAAAAAGGGTTATATTTTTTGACCTATGTGATTAAAAGTTGAGTCGAGAACCTTAAGGTTACATTTAGTTTAAAATACACACAAGGTAAGACAATTGCATTTCCCAGACATGGTTTTGTGTTGAAAACAACTCAAGCAAGAAAATCACGTTTCTTAACTACTGGAGAGTGGATGGAGTTTGTCCATGATCCGTTTTAGAAAAGTTGTGAGAAATAGATCGGATAGAGGAAAGTTACTTGCAATGTTGCCAACCCAAAGTGTTCAAAAATCGTAGGTCAGGCCGTAAAACATTATGAGACTGGCATAGAAATCAAGAGATTTGACAAAGTAAACCGGGGGGGTTCTTTGTCATGAGGTTTTTAAGCCTTTAGGGTGCACATGAGTCATGTTTTCAAGCTTTTCTCTGCAACAGTGAGGGCTAGAAACTTTCTTTTTTAAACAATGGAATCTGAGATTCTCACCCAAAATCACCTCACTCCAGCAGGTCGGGCTTTAAGAAAAACACCATATACAACAAGACCTTTGATAAAATTGCAAGAGTTGGCAACACTGTATCATACATACAAACACTTGATTCCTTCACCACTCAGCCCAACAGCATTCAGTCAAGAGAATTTCTTCATCTGAGCATTTGAAGAAAAAAGAAAAACAATATTTCACTGTCAGTGACTTTGTACAGGCCTGCTATTGCTGATATGGGACCTGTGATTGAGTAAAAACTTCCCACTGTCACATCTGCACTGCACAGCTCTGCTCAGTCTGGCACTAAGGGCCTGATCCAACTTCCAATGAAGCCTAGCAGAGACTTTCCACTGACACCAGTGGGATGTTTTGGAATGATTGTGCTATTACAGCAGCAGCATTATGCTTTCACTGCAGGATCACATAAGAGTAATTAATAGGGCTGAGAAGGACATTCCCTTCTCCCCAACCCTTATTTATACATTAATCTCTGATCATTAGCAAAAGTGCCATGAGAAATTATTACAGCCCTTCACTGTCTGACAAGGGTACGATACTATATATATACACACACACACACACAAAAGCCCATCTGGTATTTACTCTAATATTACAGATGTGATGAAAAAGTTGCTATGCAGCTTGTTTATAAATCATGATATGTTACCCAGCCAGTTTATCACAATCTAAACAAGGTTTATGACAAAAGTTTTGATCTTGCAGCTACTTTAGGAATTAAAAGCATTATGACTGACCCACGGTTGCAAACCCTTTCCAGCTTTTTGCATGCTGGAGAAAAGTGTAACCCATTTCCCTATCTGATCTCTTCTGGTAACAATCTGCTATTAGCTTGTGCCTTTTATATATATTCAGTAACTAGCAACGTTAGCCACGGCATTAAGCGCTTGAAATGTCTTCACAAAATTGTGGGCAGCATTAGGGAGTTTCTGCCTTTTCCTTGTCCCGAGGTATTCTGCCCATGGTGTAGAATTCTTCGTTTGGACGCAGATCGGTAAAGTGAGCTATACGATTAGACATGGCAAAAAAGGAGGCAATTGTGCCTATGTCCCAAGCATCTTCCCGGTCAAAACCCTGAGCCTCCAGCTTTTGGAAGTGCTCTTCAGTTATGTTATCAGCGTGACTGACTGCAAGAGCAAACTCCAGCATTGCCTGCTCCCGTTCACTTAGATCAGCCAGTTTCCAATTCACAACAACCTGCAAGAAAGAAAGAAAGAAAGAAAAAAAAGCTACAGAGAAACGTATTCAGAGCCTATAAAACAATGCAGCCGGGTCAAAAACTTAAGAACCTTTCATTCATCAAGGCTATTGTCAGGCTGTCTGGAGTGGCTCACAACTGTGAGTGCCAATCTCAGGTCAGACTGTCAGAAAGCAGGGCAGATACCCCAAATTGATGGTATATTCTATAATTAGATTTCACCAAGCCAGTAACAAATGTGCACTCCTGGATCACTGTACCAGTCTCACTATGGAGTCACAGTCAGCTCTCCAGTCTATCTTGCCATCCAGACAAACTGGACTTTGTGATAACAGGTTATGTAAATCAAAAACCACGTCACATTAGGTTACTCCCAATCCCAAAGGGTCAGTCACTTACCCCAGATCAATTTGGTACTCTGGATCTCACACCAAAGACAACACTAACAGCCAATTCTCTAGTAAACTAACTAAAGATTTATTAGCTAAGAAAAGAAATCAGTTAGTGAGAGGTTAAAGCAGGTAAAGTATGTTAACAGGTGAGTCAAAGTTTGTAATTCAAAATGATAGCAGAGATGTAGTAGTCTGCTAGTTTCCCCAAAGTCTTTCAGGGTTACCCAGAATAACTCTGGGGATCTCCGTCTCCTTGTCCAGAAATTCCACGCTATTAGAATTCAAACTGTCCAGAGACAGGATTATTCTTTTGAATCAGTATTTATAGTTCATGCTCACAAAAGACAATCTAATTAATGTCTTCACCCACAAGGCCAGTGAATTTCCATTGTTGAACACAATGGCCCTTGCTTTGAAGTTAGCACTCTCCTTCATTTACATTTCCAAGGCTCCAATCACATTTGGTGGGTAATTTAATTACAGGTATATACACAATGTAAAAGGTAATGGAACAGCAAACAATCCTTCATTAGTTTTCATGAAGTTTACACATCAAGTACATTCTCCTCTTAACATTAACACACACTTTTGATCTAGGGTTAAGAAGTTACAGGGATATGCATAATATAATGTGACAAAAATCAACAGGTTATAGATAAGTGAAGACAATACCATTAACATTTCCTCTAAACCAAACTAATACAAGTGAATTGGCCTGTGTTGCGGGAGAGGTACACCCTGTCAGCCCTTAGGGCAGTATGGCTTCACAGCCCAAGTCACTAAGGCAGACCAGAGTCTAAGTAGCCACCCTTCTTCCCAGGGCGGTATGGCCCAATGGCCAGAGTCTATGTAATGGTCTTCGGCAGCCCAATTCACCTCCCTGTTCGTTGGCAGTGTCCATGGCAGGTCAGATGGGATAGGGGGACCCGAGCCCAACCTTCTCTACCATGTCCTGATCCTAGGGAACCAATACCTTGCTGCTCAGTCTAAATTACCTGTCTCTACCATCCCATTCCCTGGGTTGCATTCTACCCCTTCTTCCAATGCAGGGGATCCCATGGCAGTCGCTGCCTTGCCTCTGTCAGCCTCAGTGGTTGGCTGGAGTTTGGCAGAGGCACCAACCTGGCTGGCATCAGCATCTGGTGGATCCAACAGTCTCCCAGCGGAAGCCTGCGGCACGTATCTGCTCTCGTCAGCAGTGCAGTCCACCCAGACTGAGCTGCTCCCTCTTGTACTGTGGTTCCAGTCGGCGTGTGCTCAGCTGGGGCGAGGGGGCGTGGCTTCCTCAGCCTATAGCATGGGGTTAATCCCCTCCAGCCCAGTGCAGGGTAGGTACACCCCGTCACAGTCGGATGGCACTACAATATCTTTTGACAAGCCTTTAATTTCTATTAGCATCTGAGTGAATTAGCCTGCAGTCCTGTCCCGAACTGGCACCTGGGTAGACAGCGTCACAGCTATGTTTTGTTTCATGGAAGAACTGAGAGAGGTTCACTAGAAAATTTTTCCTCCTAGGAGAGAGACAAGTACTGAAAAGCCATGCAATGGCAGCAAAGGAGAAATGTAGGCCAGTATTTTCCCAGATTGGGAACCCCAATTCTGGGTCCCCCAACTTGAGAGAGCAGGGGCAGCTGACTGTCAACAGTGCAGTGTCCACTCCAGCTGAAGTCAATGGAAGCTGTAGGTTGCTCAGCACATCAGAAAAATCTGGCCTGGCCTGGATCAGGCCGGCCCCCCAGCCAGTATCAGATTTTGGGGTAGTGCAATGTGGCTTTGCCCCCTGCCCCTCCATTCTAGCACCAACTGGAGTTCTGACAGAATGGAGAATTCTCCCCTGGTAGCTGGGCTGGTCCATTTCTGTGTGACCTGCTCCTGGCTGTTGTGGTGGAGAAGTATCTCTTTTTCTTTCACATTCAGTGCCTCCCCCTGCATATGGCAGGCCCTAGAAGCACTGGGACTGTAGCAGTACTGCTGAGCACATGGGAAGAAGGGAAAAGCCACACAGAGGCTATGCAGTGGAGGCCAGACACAGCCAGCACCCTGCAGATCACTGCTTTGAAGCAGGTCTCTCCAGAGCAGAGGTGGGAGCAAGTTAGTGATGTTATTGGCCATTTCCTACACAAATCGTCTGATGGAAACCCCCACACAGGGTGGGAAGAGGAAGAAGATTTAATTTCCTCTGAACCCTACCAGAGATGCCATGCACATAGCCTGTTTACCGGGGCTATGCAGAGCTCATCAGGATTTGGTCCTCACAAAGCAATTTTCAGACCTTCCTGCCACTAAAAATATGAGTGCAAATAAAGTGGTGCACTGTCAATTTGAGGAGTGCTTCAATGCTCCTCAGATGTCAAGGATGGATCAAACAGCCCCCACTAAAGCTTTCTACTAAATTCTGCATTAGCTTGTTGTGCTCGCTGTTAACAGAGGACAACCCAGTCGTGGGCAGAGAAACAAATGGACTAGCTTGGAGAAAGAGAGCTATTGTATTAGGCCCCAATCCTGCAAACTGCTTCACGCAGGCCCAGTGGGGTCCATCTGCATGGAACAGATTGTCGGATTGGAACCTTCGGCAGTCAGGAAAAGAAGAGACTTTATTTTGATTATATTTTTTCTCCATCTCAAGACAGCCTACAAAGCAGGCACAGAGTATGCCCTTTTGTTCTGATATTTTCATTACTTAGTTTAAAAACAACCAACCAATCCCACTAACCTGATCCGCCAAAGCTGGCTTTTTAGAATATATCCGATGTAACGCACCGTGTGCAATTACACAGTAGGGACATCTGTTAACAATGCTTGTAGCCACAACAATAAGTTCTTTGTCCGCCTTGCTGAGTCTTCCTATGGGGGAAAAATAAATAATCTAAGGGAGATTTCTTATTGAAGCTTTTCATTTTATTACAAAAGAATACACATGGATCAATGGTACTGGGAAATAACAGATGCTGTCGAGTCAGTGGTTGGCATGTACTGAAGCATGCAAGAAAGTATACAGAGAGACATCTTGACTACAGGGGTACTGGAACAATTTGTATAGCGGAGAGGGCTGAGAGCCATTGACCCAAACTGTAAACCCTGTTTATGATGGAAACCCCTTCAAGCCAGGGGGTGCTGCCACATCCCCAACATCCCTAGTTTCAGCACCTACGTTTGACCAGTACAGTTATGCCAGTAATTTAATAGCTAGAGGGTTGAATCCTGCAGTCCTCACTCAGGCAAAATTCTTATTCAAGTTTTGATGGGGTAAGAACTGCACATTTGATCCATAGATAATTAGGGCCCTAACTTTCAAACAAAAGTCATTGTACTCATGTAAGTAGTTAGTGGAACTGCTAATTAGTCCTATCGACTTCTCACCTAAGTAAAAATACTCATGTGCCTAAATGTTTGCAGTATACAGATCCTTAATCAGTACTTTTCTGTGCCTATTTCAGAGTCAAATGATTAATAAGTTTGCAACTAGTTACTTGATTCTTGAACCCTTAATTTTCAATTTGAATGTTGTTCTTATAGGCAAATGCAATGTTACAGGACCTATTAGCCAAGGGGCTAGGGGGAGGTTCGCTTTTCTGCAGGAGACAAAATAGAAATAATGAAGTTCTCCTGAAGTTGATGGGCTTGAGATCATGTTTTATAACCATCAGGCTGGGCATGTCACCTAGACCAAGCTTCCAGAGAGTTTGAATTTCCCAAAAATTGTTGGTGTTTGAATACCCTGGGCAGACTGAAGCCCATCAAAGCAGTGGTTCCTGCTTCGAGCAGGGGGTTGGACTAGATGACCTCCTGAGGTCCCTTCCAACCCTGATAGTCTATGATATTCTATGATCATTCTCCAAAGAAGTCCTAGGAATGTGACTTGAGCTGTGATAGAGTTAAATATAAATCTAGGGATTTACATATGCAATGCCAAACAGAGTCAGGTTCTCAAGACAAGTCATCGATTTTTGCAGCATTTCATTTTTTTAAATTAATTTTCTAGCCCTTATGGTTGGGAAGACAGCCTTCCCCATGAAAACCTATACAATGCTGTGTACCTGAGTCCACTTCTGCTGCTGCTACTAGCTTTCCAAGCCTGAGCCGGATGAAATAAAACTCTGGTCAGTTTCATTTTCACTGCTGCTTCCAGAATTCTGTAGGCAGCTGTGACACTGATGAAAATCATGTCAATTTCACATTGCAGGCTGCTGGCTACTGTCCCAAGCAGCAGAGGTAGGTGTGAGGCTACAGGTTTAGTTTCTTTTAAAGCAGGCAGGCCTAGGTAAGGCTCTAGGTAGAAGCTCTACAGTGAAACAGAGAAAGAGAGAACCTTAAGATCAGTGTTCGAAGAAGGAAACACTTTTTGTGATTTTTTTTTTTTTTTTTTTTACAGTAGACACTGGAGCTGCTGACAGGAGACTTGGAGGGTAGAGAAGAAAGAAAAATAAAGATCCTTCTAGAATTGAGAGGAGGGGGGCAGGGCTCAAGCTTACTAGGCAGCTACTAGCCAGCCACTTTTGCAAAATATGAATCCACAAGCAAAGACCAGGGAGAACACCATGGTAGGAGATGCAGCGCCCTCTGAAAGGTGTGGTCACACACCAGGGCATTGCTCTTGTACCTTAGTGACATCTCCACCTCTGAAGACACAACTCTTCTGCGTCTGCCTCTTGCTAACAGGGGTTGGATCGTTTTTTCAAGCCAATAGAGGTTGGGTCAAATTTTCAAGGGGTCTTAAGAGATTCTGACTTTATGGAAATGTCCTCCAAGGTAACATAAATGAGAGGACTTCTCCCCTATTGAAAATGTGACACATACAGAAATGTTCCTAATACAATGTTTTCTAAAGATTTCTGTGTGATTTGAGCAGTTCTTTATGCACACTGCACTTGGTCAAAACACCCCTTCAGTACTGAAAGAGCCGACGGGCACCTCTATTTTCATTAGAGAAACACTCAAAGCGTATCCTGCACCCTTACTGCTTCCAGAGCCTGTTGCAAAAAGGTATCACATTATTACTGCTCCCACCGGATATGGATAACTTTGCTGGCTTAGAAATCCACAAAGCAGAACACCGAGCAACTGTGCAGTCCGTCTTGGCCTGACAGCTGGTCCTGAACCCAGGACTGTCAGTACTAAGAGCATGAGCCTCAAATATTATTTCAGCTGGAAGCAGCAGCAGACTCAAACCTCTTATGTGGACCAGCCAGACCTCACTGAGTGTGGATTACCACTGCATGCTGGATCTGGTAGTCTCTGCTGGCTGTAACCCTCTAGGTGAAGATGAGGCTGGCTGCAGGACATACAGAACTCAGAGCCAAGCACCACATTTTAGCAACTTTTGACCTACAAAGCTAAAGGCAGTTTCAAGGCTGCTGCATAGTTTACCTCCCTCTTTGTTCATGATGGCATTGTAATATGCGAAGAATGCTCTGAATTCCGCAGGCCGATGAGACATCACACTGAACACATTGGGCAAAAATCCACTCTGTTCAAAGGTTAAAGAGAAGAGAAGTCAATGGCTGTAACCTTACTACAGAGAGCACACGCTACAAAAGCTCAAAGTGGAAAATACATACGATGGGGCTGATCGGCCCTATGCTGGTAGTGATGGGGTTAATGAGGCAGGTATGCTCCACACCGGGGACTGGCTGGATCGGGGGACAGCCTGTGGACCCAGCTGATCCTGCCCATTACGCCTACAGCCAATGTCAATCAGGGAGTGGGGTGATAAAAGGAGGCGGCCTTGGCCAGCTCAGGGCTGGCCAGGGACGAAAGCAGAGTTCTACATCTCTTTCAGAGAGGGATGCTGGGTTCCAGCCCAAGCTTGAGGCAACCTCCTACCTGTGGAGGTGACAATGGGGCCCAGGGAGACTGTGAAAAGAAATGGGCAAAGCAAACCCTGAGCAGAAGGGCAGGTTCCTGCTGAGATCCCTTGCATGACCCTGAGTTTTGAGTTCACAGTTGGCCTTTGTTTTCTTGGACTCTAATACCTTGGAAAGGGTTGGACTCCAGTGTGCCCGGGCATGCTACACTGGATTGGAGCAAGGGTGTCAGCTGACTGTCAGAGACCCACAGGTGGGTGGGCTGTGCTTTGATGGGCCACAAGGGGGGACTGCTTAGACAGCCCAGTTACAATACACTTTGGCCTATGCCATGTTTTACTGATATAATGACTTCAGCTGGGGCTTCAGGCACTACTGTAATACAAATAACTAACAGCTGGTCAGGTGCAGAGAGGCACAGTTATTGCTTCTGATTCCTCCTGGCAGTCAGACCGTGGGTCTTGTTAGCTCCAAAACAGGGGAATAAAAAGGTACAGCACACGCCAGAAGGAACTAGGGGGAGGGATATTGCAGGGGAAGACTCTACAAACCACCAGCCTCAATAGAAAGTTGTGATGCCTGTAAAAGAGGAACAAGCCTGGCAGACTCCACAAGGGGCCACTGCAATATAACAGGATCAGAGAGCAGAGACTTTAGCCCAACAGGAAAAAGGTAAGAACTGATGGACCAAAGCTCCCAGGAAAGCCAAGCCAAGATCTTCCTTGGTGAGGGTGTTCAGGATGGAGAGAGCAGAGAAGGGGGCTCAGGGCTAGGAGGCAGCGCAGAGAGGAACAGGGCAGGGAAGCAGGAAATAGTGCCCGGAGGGGGAGTGGGACAGAAAGGAGCAGACAGGCGTTAGGGGGAAGAGAAAAAGGAGACAAGGGGCCTGATTCTCCATGGCCTTGCACCTTGTGGCGTTGCTTAGAATAAGTACACCCATTTGGATGCTTTGGGGAAAGGAGAAAAACAAGCAGGAGAAAAATTTTGCCGGCCTTTTCAGTGCATCATCAGTATTGAAAAGAAAGTTTTGGGTCAGGTTTAACTTCATCCCCTTTTTCCCTAGTAAAACAAACAGGGAAGGTGGGGAAATGGTGCTTGCTGCCCTTCTGAGCGAGAAGCCACGTGGAACCAACAGTCACCTCCTGGAACAAACAAGGCGAATAATAATCATGCTGAGCCACCCAAGTATTTCTAACAAAGGGCCTGACCCTGCAGGCTGTTCCATGTGGATGGACTGCACAGAACTCCAAGGGTGCTGGGGCCATCCCTAATGCTGATCCAGAAACTGACTCTTGGTATTGGCCAAACTCAGAGGCTGGGTTGTGTCCTCTGGGAAGAGCTTTTCTCAGCAGACTCTTCTTACCTTCATCTCTACTTCTTCCATGAGCTCCACTATATCATACGGCAGGTCCTTCTTGTTGGGTATCGGATAGCGCCCAGTCGGCCTCATGGTGCTCCCTGCCTGTGTACTGTATGCATGGCTTACGGCTGCCGTTTGCGCCCTTCCCCACAGGCTCCCTGACACAAGGAGAGGCCGAGGCTAGAGAGAGAGAGAGTGGGAAAGGCTTGTTTAGCCAGATGGATGGTTATTGGCTCCCTTCTCTGCTTAGCTGCTCTGATACTGCCTCAGAATTCATGTAAACCACACCCACTGCTAGATCTCACTTCACCATGACAACCTACACAACTGACCATTGCGAGACAGCATGGTCTAGTGTGCAGGGCACTGGGACAAATGACCTGGCTTCTATTCCTGGCTCTGCCACTGACCTGCAGCATGCTCTTCGGGGGCCTCACTTTGTGCCTCAGTTTCCCCTTCCACCCTAACTCGACCGTAAGCAGCTCAGGGCAAGGACTGTCTCTCAGGATGTGTTTGTAGAGCTCCTAGCACAATGGAGCCCTGATCTCAGCTGGGACCTCTAGGCACTATTGCACTAATGCGGCAATGACCACACTGGTGTATTATCTTCACCCTCTCCACTTCTACATGGTATCCTCTTAAAGTCACAAAGCTGTTTCTCAGAACTAACGCAACACAAGCCCATCACTGCAGTACCCTACAAATTAATTAACCAAAATGAATGGTATCAACAAAGAACTAAATTTGCCACTGGCATAAATGCACCAACCTCTGGTGAATGGCTCTGTGGCCTAGGGTTCGCACCTGAGCTTTGGATGCCGGTGGTCCTGAGTTCAAATACTGGTTATGCCCTGTCCCTGAGATGTGTATCAACATCAGCAAAAATCAATAGAACCGTGCCCACTTGTGATATAGTTAGTGTATGGGCATTTAACTGACACTATGGGGAAAACAGCATTATTTCTAGAGGCTTGCTTTATAAATGTGTGTGCAATGAATTGTCCAGAAACACCTCCCTCAGTAAAGAATGACACTAGGGACTCCTAGTTTTTTTTTAACAAAATCCATCCCAATTCTAAGTACTGTAAAGCGGCACCACCGTCCAAAGTACAATCAATTGTTGAAACCTGAGCAATTCCTACCCCATTGGCATGGGTTTAGTTAACTGGATCACATCCCTTACTTCAGAACTCTCCTGTCATTGGGTTAGCACAACGCTGCAGCTATGCTTTTGGGGAGCAGCGCCTAATATGCTTTGCTGTTATGTAGCACGCTTCATCTGTACATCTCAAAGTGTTTTACACAGGAAGGTCAGTATCATTATCCCCATTCTACAGATGGGGAAACTGAAGCACGGGGTTGAAGGAAACTTGGCTAAGGTCAGATAGTAAGTCAGCAGCAGAGCTAGGAATAGAATTTAGGTCCCCCGACTCTTACCACCGAACATCACGTACCCTGTTCCTGCTTTCTCCCAGAAAGGTATAATAATCCACACATACCCTGCAGCCTAGAACTTCACATATTACCATCCCAGAACCCAGATCACCTGTGCAATCTTGTGGAAATGCACTGGCTGTCACTTACTGCCACTTTTAAATGGCAATTATACTGCTTAGATCGTAAGCACCAGGGATCTCTTTGTTCGCTGTTTGTACAGCACCTAGCACAATGCAGTCCTGGTCTCTGAGTGAGACACAGACACTGCAGTACAAATTATTGTTATTAATCAGGGAAAGAAGTCTGACCGCATTGCTTGAAATGGTAAAACAGCTATCTCCAGCAGTCAGATCCTGATGTGCCTTTGAAACCATGCTCTAAAGTGATTTAAAAAGATCCTGCAGTATATGTAAATGGCAAAATATCTAAGAGGAACTATTCTAACAATATCTGCAGTAGTATCATTGTTAGACAAATACTGTAGTCAACCAAACATGAGTATTATCACAAAGTCCAATTGCACATATATTAAAAAAACGGAATAAGCACATTGGAGGCAATAAAAAATAATAAGATGTATGGGTCTAACTGCTCATTCTAAAGGGGAAATTCAAAAATCCGAAGAGATGAAAATCTAAGAAACATCATTGATTTGTCCTAAGTGAAAGGAAGTAAGTTAGTAAAATAAATGTGCCCTTTATTCACCAGCTTTTTCTATTCTTCTGGTGTGGGAAAAAGCAAACAAGGAAGAGAGAGAATTGCTATCCGAACAAGTTGTGTAATTCCCTAAAGGTTTGGTTTTTTTAAATCACTTAAATAAATCTGTAACTGAACTTGCCTTCAAACAGTTCATCTTATGGAATAAAGCCAAACTAAACAATGTGCAGTTATTGGGCCCAGTCTTGTAAACTCTGACACCAGTGACAGGGGTACTACATCAATGTTAACAGTGGAGGTGCTGAAGGCAGAAACCGTGTACTTCGTTGCTATTACTACTTCAAGCCAGGAGTGCAGTAGTACCCCATACCCCTCGTTCCAGCACCTATGACCAGTGATTTTACTCTCTGACTTCAGGGGGACTAACTTCATGAGTCAGTTACATGCATAAGCGTGTGCAGGAGTGGAGCCATTGCAGCCAGTTAGAAAAGACATGTTACCTTAAGAGAGACTTTTACTATTGAAAACATTTAGAAGTCCAAGAGGAGAAAAATGGACCAACTCACTGATAGTTGTACAGCAGTCACCTGTTGCTAAAACCAACCAATCGCTATATTCAGGAACTCTAGGAGAGCCTTTTCCAAAGCACTCAAGTTCAATGTCTAGTTTCTACTTCAAAATAAAAACCTCAAGCTGCCAGTTGAAATCCAGAGCCTTTTTTCCTCTCTTGATCTAGAGTTTTAATTCCATTTGGCAGTATTGAAATAAAAAGAGTATGGAATGAGGAACGAAACCAAATTAGCTGAAGAGCTGTATGATTCTCCTGCACTTGACTGCAGGGTGCAGGTAAAGAATTTTTCTGTAGAGATGAGACTCAAGAGCATAGCCACAAGGGGAACCGGGAATCCAAATCTAAGAATTTCAGATCTTGCCACAGACTTTGCCAAGTACTTTAGGTCCCCAGGCCTGTAGGTAGATCACTTCCCTAAACAATATTCATTCAAAGGACATCAGGGTTCGCCCTCCATAAATACCCTGAATGGCCAGATTCATCCCACACTGATATAAAATGCCCCAATGTCTCCTGCAGACCTCTCAACCTCCAGATTGCTTTTTTAACTGCAGTTGTCAGTACCAGCTAAACAGAACCACTATGAGATGGGTAATTTTGAGCCATTCTTAAGGAAAAGTTTCTGTTACATGCCAACTGGGGAGGACGTACTTAATAAGAAGGTGTCTTTACATTTGGTACCAAAGATTACACGGATTTTTTTGTATACAAATACCTTTGTTTTTCTTTTCATGGAGAAAATGTACATTTAGTACTGTGTTGCTGTGCTGCTGAAGGAAAAATGTTTCTGGATATTGTTGTTTACTGGAATATATGTTGTCAACTTTGTTTGAATGAAGAGCCTCAAACAAATTCCCTAAGCTGACTTTGCCTCAAGTGATTTGTTCTTTAGAAATAGCCAAATTGATTTCATTCCATGCACTTAAACAGATGAGTGTGATTTTTATTTCCATTGGAGCAAAACTGATATTTTCAATTTTTTAATTACTGCAATAAAAACATTATGGCATAGTCAATGGGAGGTTTTAATTCTTTGGAATCGGTTTGTTTTCTTTTAACCAAGATGACAAAGAATTAATGTAGCAAAATTTTGCAACCCGTACACTGTAATATCCCTGCCATATTGGAATGGGTAAAAAACTGAATGGAAAATAAAGTATAAATTGAACAAAGTCCTTTTTAAATCGAAATTTCTCATAGTGTTGGACAATATACCTGTCTTGTGTTAGTCCAACATGCCCATATCGGTCTCAGGCAGTGTCTGCCAGCCAGCAGTTGTGGGCCCCGTGCTCCCATCCCGCAGGAGCAGAAAGAGGCTTGTGGGGGGAGAGGGGGAAGCGGCACAGTAGCTAACATGGGATTTCAAGTAGGGGAGGGACAGGTGGGCGAAGGAGGGATCAGGCCTGGCACAAAGTTGATGGGCTCTTTCTGCTTCCCGCCTTCCCACTGCCCTCTGGTGAACACTATCAGCTGCTCCCACCTTCCTCACCCCTCCGCTGCTGAAATCCCTGGAGGGGAGGGGGTAGGGTGACCAGATGTCCTGATTTTATAGGGACAGTCCCGATGTTTGGGTCTTTTTCTTATATAGGCTCCTATTACCCCCCACCCCTGTCCCAATTTTTCACATTTGCTGTCTGGTCACCCTAGGAGGGGGTTACTGGACAAGTGGGGAGCTGTATTCGAGGGGCACCATGGCATGGGGGTGGTATTAATTGTTGGAGGGTAGGCAGCATTAACTGAATTTGGGGACACCACACATAGGCCTCAAATGCGGCACTCTGTCATGCTCTAATCGACACACTTAGAATGGCTATCACGTATACTCCCTGGCTTCAGCAGTTTTTCCTACCGACTGAATCAAATCCACTGGTGCTGTGGCATGGAGTCCACCACCCATGCAATTAGCCTGGCACTGATGGCAAGAGACCTTTCCTGCCCGCTGTGCCTTGGCCCGGTGGGAAGATGCGTGCTCCAGTTAGCCTGAGGGCTAGGCCAGCAGGAGGCTGAACTCCTGGTACAGCCATCCGTGCTGGCCAGGTCAAAGGATGGGGACCAGCCAAGCAACAGCCCACTGCTCCGCCAGGGCAATAGCCCGGCCCTGCCTGGCAAAGGAGTGAAGTTACAGAAACACAGCAAAGCAGCCATTCCAGCAAACAGTGGGACAGACAGGGCTAGGGCTTGCTTGTACCCAAAACGATGTCTGACTCTGGCAGCGGGGGAAAGATTCCCATTCCCAGACGCAGATTGCAAGAGCGGTTTATTTGAGTCACACAGTGAAGAAGATATCCTTAAAAACAGCTGGATACGGCACAACTCTGAGCAGTGCGCTGTGCCCGAAGGCACAGGTGCCCCACAGCTAGACAGCTGTGGCTCCCACTGGCACCTGAGAAGTATGCTCTCAGGGAACTGCGGATTGCTAACCAAAAGCCCAGAGCACACCCTGCAAAGTCTGAGGCCCTGACAGAATCGTAGGACTGGAAGGTGACCTCGACAGGGCATCTAGTCCTGTCCCCTGCACTCATGGGCAGAGGGGATCTGGCAGCAGGAGGGGATTGGATCTGGCAGCAGGAGGGGGGTGGATCTGGCCCGTCTATGGAGCCCGTTCAATGCCCAGCCGGGGGCGGGAGGAGCCCCAGGAGCGACCGGGGCTGTCACCGCCAGGGCTGGGCAGACGCAGGATGGGGAACTGGGCAGCCAGAGGCAAACGCCTCTCCCCTGTCCCCGGCCGCTCCCGTGGGGAGACCCGGCTCCATCCCCCCCCGACCGGTGTTGTGCCAGCTGCTAAAGGCTGGATGCAGAGGGCAGTCCCGAGTAGCATGGGGAAACACGTTTGTTGCAAAACACCACCTGTGGTGATACGGAGCTGGATTTCAAGCAATAGCAACCCCCACCCCCCATGACTGTGTTTTCTGCCCAAGCTGCAGGGC